CTACTGGACGCTATGCTTTTTTACTTACACCCCTACCACCCATCTTGCCCTGGACACCCCACTAGGTTAATCTGGCCTTATTGCTGCTATGTAAATTCTATTTTGGATTTTATGAGTGTTAATAGTCTATAGTAAGAGAAAACATAATTTGTCTTTTTGTTCAGGCGACAGAATATATATTAGAGATTCCTGTCAAGTCATGTCATATATGTTGTTGTAAATATAAGGGATGTATAGGTGGATATACATGTAGACAGACTTTTAGTTATTTAATTGTTCACTGATCTGGATTACAGATTAGGATAAGTAGAAAAACAAGCTTAATGTTCATTATAAAATCCATTATTACTACTACATGTAGGAACAAGAGCTGTGTTAAATAATTTATACACATCTACATTTACATATTGAGAGATTTTAATTGTCTGTTGTCTCAGACTATCAAGAATAAATGACAGATATATTCCAGTGAATAAATCTGTTTATTTCTGTGCTAGGATCCTTTGTTATAGTCCCTAGTAACAGTATGAAGTTCTGTGATATACAGGGCTGGATTAACCTTGTAGGTGGCCCGGAAGAATTCAGTAGGGCCCAGTCCTCTCCCCAGAAAAGTTTGAAAAATAGATTTGATTCGATGCATTCTGGGGTATCTTCTGGACGAGTAACACAAGAATCTCTCGGTCATCAAATGGAACTTTTGATCTTGTACTCAACCCATAATGTGGGGTGCCCAGGACATTTGTCCCATTTTGCTCCCTATACATTTGGTACTGGGGATAATTTTTCAAAGCTATGTTAGCACCCAGTGTTCTGATTGTGTTGAAGATAATCTTCTTGACTAGCAAACACATATTTATTGAAAAAACCTGTCAATAACTCGTGTGTAGTTACTATTTCATACAATGCTTCGTTTTTTGATGATTTTCAATAGAAATTTTTAAGGTTACTGTTGCATTTTGATTTTCCCTTCACAAAGTTTCCAAATGGCATTACTTAACCGGAAGTAAATCGTGTACGCAGGTCAATTAAAATAGTTTCTTCCATCAGTACAAATTAGTCAAGCAAGGTCATTCTCATTATGTGATATGCACTAGTATAAAGATTCATTTTGAATGAAATGAAAGACAAGGTATCTCTTTACATTACAAAGAGGTGTACAGTTGTCACAGTATTTCTTTTCCTCAGACTGATTATAATTTTTATCCTGACTGAAAACAACTATAATCTTTACATAGATTAGAATGAAAATAATGAGTAACTATGGCCATTTAGTTCTTACATCACTGCGATTTGCAGCCACCTGCGGTATGGTCCCAGATCACTAAATCTATTCTGCTAAATGGCTAGAGTTCCTGATTGTAAAAAAAGATCTATAATTATGGATCCAATGCGATACTAAATCATGACATATTGAGGTTTATACAATTTTATAAAATACACAAAATAAACTAAAGTTAGTTACATATAATAATAATGCTTAATCGCTGGCATAACGGCCGAAAAGGAGCATTTTGTAGTCATTTTACTGATTTTGCGAAAAAAGACGCCATTGCTGGAGACCAAGCAAACACTGGGACAAGTGTTCAGTCAGAAACTGTCCAGGTCTCAATGAACAGATGTAGAGAGACCGGATAGATGCTACTCGATCGATTTTAAACGTTAGATAACGAATTTTCTTATATTTACAGGCCGCAACTACATGTAGGGCTAAAATTATCTGAAAATGGCATTTTTCAAGTTGCCCCCGAAGGTTAATGGAGTGGGCAGTTCTTAAGTTCCGCTCACTTTTTTGGTAGAGCTACTTCATGACATCATACCACCTGGATACTGATAAATTTCATATCTTCTATCTACTCAAAGAGCATTGCAAGCATACATAGATCTGTGATTTTTCCGAAAAATTTAATGAGCAGTCAAATTTCAGATGGCTATAGTAGCTCAGGGAAATAGATATAAAAATCAATACTTGTGAGGAATTGAGGTCCTAGCAGACCTTCTTCAAATATTGCCTGAGATGGGGTGGGTACGATAAAATAATGCTGTGGAGCTCCTGCAAAGTAACACAAAAATCTACTGAAAAATCAGCTATTTTATGGTAAAAAAAATAATTGCCCGCTGTAGGCCGTACAGGCGGGCGATGACTGAAATATTTATACCTGTAATACAGGACCCCTAGGGGGTCAAATAGCAATAGTCTGATGGGAAACTTCAAACATCACACCTTAGCACATTTTCAAGATTTTGCTTGGTCCTCTCGCGAATACGTTCTTAAAAATTAATAGGCGTTGAGAATTTTAGAAATGCTGAGATAATTTCATTGCCTCATTTTACATAATTAACTGGGACAGATGCTGTCTGGACAATCATCCCACAAAATGTCCCAGGACAGACTGACTCAAATGTACATATATAGGCCTACAATGGCAGAATGGAAACATACTTTGGAGAGGATGTACATGTAGCCAGTAAAGTTGATGACATTTTAATCTTGAACATAATTTCATTCTTTCACATTTACTTGCAGTCCAGTCTTAGCAATGGCCAATGTCAATGACCATACATTTTTATACGCCCACATTGAAAAGTAGTCGTACATTGTCCTCGCCCCCATCTGTTGATCCGTTGGGCGGTCCGGCGTCCGCTCTAGAGGCTAAAGTTAAAATCTGATTAACTTTAAATTGATACAAAATGTTTAAGGTCATGAGACGAAGAAGTCTATTCATTTTCAGTGATTTTCAATAATTACTGCCAGAGTTATGGCCCTTGATCACTTCAAAAAATTTTGTGGATGCTCTCTAGAGGCTAAAGTTAATATCTGATTGACTTTAAATTTATACACAGTTTTTGAGGTCATGAGACGAAGAATCCTAAAGATTTCCGATAATTAACTGCCAAAGTTATGACCCTTGATCACTTTGAAAAATCTTGAGACACTCTATATATAGAGGCTAAAGTTATCATCCGATTGACTTCAGATTGATACACAGAGTTTAAGGTCTTGAGACGAACAAGTATATTGATTTTCAATGAATTTTGATAATTTGAACAGCTAATTCCATGATATTAAATGTTTCGTATACTAAACGTTAGCATGGGGCAGAACTTTATAAAAACCAAACAAATTCTAATGGTTTTCTGATAATTACATGTAGTTAATGAGTTGTTACTCTTAATCAGATTTTAGTGTATTATAAATGTTTCATTACAGAAAAAAGTAAATATATGTGATAACTCTTGCTGACTGTCCGGACGATTTAGCGTATGTTTCGTTGTTTGGCAACCTTTCTTTTCCTTATCAGTTATTTGTAAAGTCAGCTTTCTTTTTAAAGGTCATCTATACAATTAGGTACATGTACATGTCCTTGAATAGAATTTGCCTATTGATTTCACCTTTAGAAATATTTTATCATTAGATAGATTGATAGCTTTAATACAAGTAGGTTATGTAATATCTATATGGGTTAAAGAATATAATAACTAGATCTAGTTTGTTGTTAGCTTGTAAACTATGTATGATCATTTTACTCATGAGGGCAGACGACTAGCTTTATGATTTGATATATATCAGAATAAAAAAGTAAATGTGGTTGATTGTTTTAACTGGACATTTGATGATATTATGGATCAACTTTATCAGTTTTGTTGAATTTGTCAATTGGACTTTGCATTTTATCCTGACCTTTACTTTATTTAAACTGATGAGGATCTGTTTCATTCATACACTGATACACTGTCAAATTACAAATGTGTAAACAATACATTATTTTAGTGGATTTATATAATGAATTGTATGTCCTTTGTGACGTCATTTAAGGATGTTATTTTTGGCTCGCTGTATACTTTAATGTTAAATGGAGCATGAATAATACTACATGTTTATTTTTGAGGTCATGTTATATTTAGTTGAGGTTGATAATAGCCACGAACAAAGAGACAGAGTGAAAAATGAAGGCAGACACAATTATTGCCAATTTCTTCATAAGTTTGATAATCTGTAGGCTATACTTGTTTTATAATGTTTGTTAATTGTGTACCAGAATATGTAATGTATGTATTTTGTACTTTTATTATTGTTTTTGATGATGATAGAATTCTCCATACACAATGACAAGATAGACTACATGTTACTTTTGTCAAATCCATAAAATAACCTTCTTGTGTCATTGCTCATTTAAACGTTCAATTCCAAGTTTCTGTACATGTCACAGATTTATAACTCAATGTGATGAGATCAAAACAATACCTGGTAACTCAAACACGGTGTCCTTCTGCTCATTCTGTCGGTATTTAGTTTTAATACAATAAGTGTAATAAACTATATGTATATACATACTCATGGGAAACAGCTGCTAATTTATTTGGGTGACGTTTCGAAGAGTATTCTCTCAACGTTATCAAGATAATACAGTAATTCATAATGTTGAGAAAATACTCTTTGAAACGTCGTCCATATAAAGTATGTTATAGTTTATTGCTCTATCCAGTATATCTAAGATTACAATAAGTGTAATTGGCTGTAACTCATTTGGTTTAAAATTTTACTAATTACTTGATTGAGTAAGCCTCCATATATGCATCCTTTTCAGACATGCACTGTACTTGCTTTTGAAACATACCAGTACTTCAGCTTTTGAGAAATGCAGGCCTACTTCAATTTTTTTTTATAGAAATCCAAATCCTTCACATTATATCTCAAAAATAAAAATCATGTACTATTTTAATGTAAAAACTGTTGTTATTGTGGAATCAGTGAAGAATGAGTTGGCTTGTACAAAAATAGACAGAAAAGCTATTACTGGTACTAATTTATTTATCTAAGAACATATTTAAAGATGGCATCCAATTGAAAACAATGTGAACTTGTCCATAACTGAAGTTGAAATTCATCGATTTGAGTAATCTTGGGACCGAAATATCTTGGATTCTATATTTAAAAGTTGTTCAAACATGGTTAGGCTCTGAAATAATACATGAATAACAGTATATTGTTCTTTTTTCAGTGACTAAATGATTGTGGTGACAGTTAAACGTAAAAACAGTATGCCGGAAACCGGCGCTGGGAGCTGGCTCGTAGTATTAGCAGCATTTTTCTCCCAGTTTATAATATGTGGTATCACCTATAGTCTTGGAGTATTCCATGTGGTTTTCAGGGATCACTTCTCGGCCACACATTTTGATGCATCATGGACCGGATCAATTCTGCTGTACGTCACAGCTTTGTCAAGTAAGTAGCATTCATTCGATCATATTCTAGGATATATACATGTTGGGGGGGACCATTGAGTATTGGCATCCTCTCATCTAGGAGTATATAAACAACCCCAACAAACAGAGAGAGACAGAACACTAAGCAGAAAGAAGGATGACCCTACTCCTTGTCATGCATAGTTAACAGTCCTTATGAGATATAGTGCACCTATAAGACTAATTAATCGGAGATAGCATATAATCATAGATTACATCACTTGTAATGTTATTTCAGGTATTATGTTACGTTTTGTAACAAGTTATTGGGGATGCCGTGTAAGTGTTATGTTAGGTGGTATCCTGGCGGCGACAGGACTTGGTCTCGGTATGGTGGTAACAGAACTCTATCAAGTGTATCTTACATATGGATTGCTTACAGGTAACTTTTATAGATACTCTGGAGTCATATTCAGATCATTGGCAGAGTCATATAATCAATGCACCAATTTTAATCCTTAACAAATGAAAAGGCTACATATTCTTGGAATATTTTTAGTAAAAGTTTTGGTGAATAAGGTCCCTAAGCTTCACCATATTAACACTTCAATCGAATTATAAAACAAGACCCTTATACAGATTCACTTCTAAACTGATGTTGCATTTTGGTGCTTTGTCCACTGTTTCTCAAAGTTGTGCGTGTGTGTGAATGCACACATCTTTTGCAAATAGTGCACAAATGAAATTCATTTAAGGCCATATGAAAAACAATTAGCTCTCACATAATACATGTACATGTACCTCTTTAAAGCAACAGAATATACTTGAAGTAAATCACAGTGTCTCCCCAAAATTTTAATTCTATTTATCTTATGAATTTAGGCATTGGTTTTGGACTGGCTTGCTCTCCATCGATAGTAGCAGTTGAAAAATGTTTTGTGGCTGGCAGAGTTAGTGCCCTTAGTGTTGTGGTTGGTGGGATAGGTGCTGGAATCATAACATTCCCTGTCATAATCCGATTTTTATTAGAACAGTATGCATGGAAAGGGACCATGTTGATTCTAGCTGGAGTGGCTCTTAATTTGTGTGTTTGTGGAGCCCTCATGAAGTCTAATCCTGACGACAAGGAAGTTCGTCTGCTACCTCTACTATCCTGTCTACCTCTACGTCATCCATTATTTCACGGCATGTGCATCGCTAATCTTTTCTGGAGTTTTGGATCCACTGTTATTTATATGTATCTGCCATCATATGCCATGGCAAAAGGAACAGATTTTGAAAGTGCCATTTTCCTAATTTCGTGTATAGGAATGGCTAGTTTCACCAGTAGAATGATTTTTGCATTCATGGGACATAACTCTACACTAGACTCAATAACTTCTATTATATGTCCGATTGGTATCGGGGTGGTTATCACTGGAATATTTCCATTGTTGTTTAAAGATTTTGCTGGTCAGCTCGGATATACGTTATTATTTGGATTCTATACAGGATTTTGGACTACGTTTTTATCGCAAGTATCACGAGAGTTATTAGGACCGGAATATATTGCCCTGGGTAACGGATATCTGTCGTTTATGATAGCTTTAGGTTCACTGGCAGCTGGTCCTGCCACAGGTAAATCACTTACATTATTTATATTGTACTTGTACTTTGAAAAGTGTTGCCTATGTGAACTTTCTAAATCTTATTTTGGTAAGAAGACAATACCTTTATCTTATAGACAGTATTCAGTCATTAGATCATTAATACTTTGTTTCATCTGAAGAAAGTTCTCACTGTAAATTATTTTTAGTGCAGTGGTGGGATTTAATGTACAGTAAAGATTTGGTCAAAATTATGCCTTTAATTGATTTTGTATTACATGTGCGGACAGAAGGCCTGTCTTCATTGCTATCAGTACATGTCCGGCATATACCGGCGGGTGACATATATATATTGGCTGCTGTATATATATAGATTTGTATGTCACTGAACAATTAACAAATGGTCAAAACATTCAGGTTCATTTTGACTGAAATTTATTTTTTATTGACCTAGACTGATAACCATATGTTTATGTTTATTTTGTAGCTATGTTAGTACAAGAAGAGAATGAGTTTAAATATGCATTTTATTTAGCTGGTAAGTCATTAAAAAATAGAACAAACATCAGTGTATCATTATAGTCCTACTAATAACCTGAAAATATGAGTGCAGGTTATTTTATAGGTGGGGAGGTTGGATGGTCTAGTGGTTTAACGTGTGTGCATAAAATCACAAGGTCTATCATTGAGTCATTAAATGGGTGGTTTCAAATCCCTACTTGAATGTGACAAGGAGTAAGGTCATCTGTCCAACATCGTGGGTTTTCTCTGGGTCCTGGTTTCCACCCACTGCTAAAGACTCCAACCCGCAAGTGAATTATTGAAAGTAAAAAAATCAAACCATATTTTAGTTCCAAAATGACCTAGTTTGTGTTGAGTAGATGTTAAACTCTCTCCTCTCTCTCTCTCTCGACTGCATATAGTATATATATTTCCTGTACATGCTTATCACATCTTTTTTTTGGGGGGGGGGGGGGCTGTTTAACATTACAGTAAGAAGTAGATATACATATTGCAAACGCTTTCTAAGTTGTTATTCGAAATAAAAAAACTAAGGGCGGAAATGTCCTGCTATCTAACTAAAAAGGTTATCATCTGGTATAAGTGCACTTGTGAGAATATATCAACCACAGCTTACCTTGTACATGTGAAATTTAAAGCATGTGGTTATTGAAAATCAATATTACCTCAATATCAACAGAGTTATGGCCCTTGATCACCTCAAAAAAATATGTAGTGTTTGAGGTTATGAGACGAAGAAGACTGTTGATTTTCAGTGATTTCCGATAATTACTGCCAGAGTTATGGCCCTTGATCACTTTGAAAAATTTTGTGGATGCTGTAGAGGCTAAAGTTAATATCCGATTGACTTTAAATTTATACACAGTGTATATAAGGTCATGAAATGAAGAAGCCTATTCATTTTCAGCGATTTTCGATAATTTCTGACAGTGTTTTGGCCCTTGATCACTTTTGAGGTCATGAGACGAAGAATACTGTTGATTTTCAATGATTTCCGATAATTACTGTCAAAGTTATGGCCCTTGATAACTTTGGTAAATTTTTACGCAGTGTTTGAGGTCATGAGACTAAGAATCCTGTTGATTTTCAACGATTTCTGATAATTACTAATTACTGCCAAAGTTATGGCCCTTGTTCACTTTGAAAATTCTTGTGACGCTCTAGAGGCTAAAGTTATCATTGACTTCAAATTGATACACAGAGTTTAAGGTCTTGAGCCGAACACATATATTGATTTTCAATGAATTTTGATAACTTGAACAGCTAAATCCATGATATTAAATGTTTCGTATACCAAGCAATAGCATGGGGCAGAACTTTATAAAAACCAAACAAATTCAAATGATTTTCTGATAATTACTTACTGAGTTGTTACTCTTAATCAGATTTTAGTGTATTATAAATGTTTCATTACCGAAAAAAGTAAAAATATGCGACAACGTTTGTTGAGTGCCCGGATGATTTAGCTGCTGTGGCCGTATGTTTTGTTGCCTGGCAACCTATCTTCTATTTAGGAGTTATTTTATCATGGTTCTTTTTTTTTTCAGGAGCTTGTTTGTTATGGAGTTCTGTTATTATGGTTCTGTTTAAATTCAAAAAGTGTGGAGCTCTTGATAAACCCACGGCTCAAGATGTCAAAGTGCCATTAATTGCTGAAGAAGTAGTGCAAGCTCCTGAATCCGATGCATGTTCGGAGCATGGTGATACAGAGCATCGTGATGCAGAAAGGGAAAAGGAAAAATCTAACCTGCAGTGGTATGATGAAAATTTAATTGTGTAGGTGTTGTTTTTATCTTTTGTTTTCCTTTATTTTGTTGATTTACTTATTATTGTTTTTTTATTGCAAAGTACAAGTAGTCAACTATAGAAAATATATTTCTTCCATGCACCAACTTATTTTAGTTTTGAGTTCTTTTGTTTACACCTACATATCATGTATTTTCCTTTCTTTTGTTTTTTTTTGTTTCAAGTAAAGTATTGTTGTTTTTTATTAGTGGACTGAAATAATCTGATTAAAACACAGATCCTATTACGTTTTGGGTTTGTTTGGTTTTTTTTATTCAAAATTATGTTTTACTTATCTTCCTGCATAGATCTGAATTTTAATCAGGGGACTGAAAGCAACATTACCCCACATTTGAAAAACTGAATTTGCTCAATTCTTTACAAACGAAAAATTAGAAAAATACTTCCTTTCCATGCGGTAGATAGATAAAGATATTTGCTTTCCCTTATCACCATATGCTGTGTCACTAGAGTATATCCAGATTAACCTATATTAGTATCATTATATCATTAGCTTTTCTAACATCCACTTCTCTTTGCTTCACAGGGAGGCAGTGATCACCTCGGTATAATTCAACTAATCCAATTATACAAGAGAATACACAAGATGTTTTCTTACCGTTGTCATAGAAACAGTATTCCAGCAAGATTATCACCATGATGATAACAGATTGTTAATTCTAAACCAAATATAGGCTATTAGATTATGTCACTTATCATGGAAATATTGGTTGTTGGACTCTGTTGTTGCACATAATCTTTATTATTCTACTTTATAATTTTGGTGCCAATCTCTTTTTCTAGAGGCTTTGATCTGTTTCGTTAGGTTTTTCCACAGAACAGTTTCAAGTTTCTATTCAATGTAGCCAATCAGCAGCACTCTTACCAGCTTTCTATGTTCACAATGTTTCTAGGCACAAAGTTTTGGATCAAATTTAATACAACATTCCGAATTTTACTGTTACTTCAAAAATATGTACACTTTTTAATAATAATATTCAAGAATGTTGATAAATATTTTGGCTTAATTAACAATATGCAATATGTGTAGTGTCTACAAATGAAAATCTACTATCATGTAACTGCCCTTGTCAATTCCATGGATTGCTGTTGGAGGGTATGTTGTGTTGGCATCCAATACTTGTTAGAAATTGACTGGATTATCTTTATGTAGCTCGTACAATATACCGGTATTTTGAAAGTAGTTGGTAATGATAAGTTTACTACGCATGAGGTCGTGAACCCAGAGATTAAAAATTTAATATGAAAACAATGTGTGAACTGTGAATGCTTTAGATAAGTCTAAACAATAACATGCAGTTAGCATTTACAAATTTTACCAAGAAATAAATTCTTTTTAAACATGTCATATTCAAAACAGTAGAAAATTTAAACGGTGTGTAAAATAGAACATGTTATTTAGATTTTGAAATTTTCTTCAGGAATACATGTATGTCTCTTAGTGGTCTTGAAAACAAACTTGAAGATGAAACTTCATTGGCGTGAGAAGTGATTCCTGATTTATTAGAAGGGCATGTGTTGTTATAATTATACATGTAATAAGTATTAATTTCATTAATCATTTTTCGAAAACATGTTTTAGTTTTGATATTTAACAAACAAAGAGTTACACAAGAATGTCCTAACAGGAATCCAAAGTTAAATTTTGATGCTGGAGAAAAATTTATTTACAGTTTTTCACCAGTCCAACATTACTTTTGGACTTCTGCTAGGACAGCCAATTACTTTTGTGTAAAAAAAACTTGTATCCTAATATTCCTAGTCTGTAAAATAAACAACAGAATAGTAGATGATGACTGTACTTGAATTCACCGACTATTGTAAGCGAAACTGTATTTTAAGTTTATCTCAGTGAATTAGAAAATTCATGTTTATACATTAAATTTTATGATATTAATAATGTTTTAATTGTGGTTGATAGATTTTAATAGAAGTACAATCATGTATGATGTAATTATTGTTGATATAAGTACTTATTACCGGTACTTTATATGACTGACATATTATCATAATATATGTTGAATAATGGTAGTTTATGGGTAGACACAATGAAGTAAGCCTATTCACTATAACATTGTATAGTTTCAGTGACTACACCAGTTTTATAGTAGAACCTATATATATATATATATAATACACAGGGGATTCACTGTAACCCGGTTGAAACCATATTAATACCAGTCTTATACTGAAACTCACCTTACACAGTGAAGTGAATCATGCTATATTGAAATGGAATGAAACAGGGTTTATAGTCCTACTTTCTGCACCATCCAGGTTAATGATAGCTTCCCACTATATTGAAATCGTGGTTTTATATAATTGTGCAGTGATCCTATTAGGTCTTATCATATATTGAGGTCAGCCGTAGCAATCTTGTTGATCGTATCGAAACGTATCCGAACATATCGGAACGTAGCAGATGTGGACGCAATAGGGACAATCGTATCGTAATGCATCGCACGACAGTGGGATCATGGCATAATATAGAAGGCCATACACTATGCAGTGTGCTACGAAGGGAAATTTTTTGTCTACACAGCGATCTACTCTTATTTGAAATTCTGTCACAGCTTCTTTAACATGCACACTGACATGTACACTGGACCATGATTTTTCGTCCCATCTGAATGACGAGATGCTGTAACTTGAATGGAACTTTCTTGACCAACACTGGGATGGAACCTGATATTTGCTAGTTAGCAAGTCAGCATCTTTTTCATTGAGCCACCACAGTTTCCCATGTTATAGTGAGGTACAAATGCATGCTGTACATAATGAGAGGCTCACAATTCAAAATCAGTGACAAATTTATGAAAGGATTTATGTGATAGAACTAGAACTAAAATCTCTGTTAAACCTATATGATGCAGTATTGATGTGCGAATTTTATTTCTGAATATAAAAAGTTGTCTCCCTTGGAAAATATGCTTTGTACGTTGCTATTGGATATTAAAATAATTGTTTTTTTGATATGTACACAAATTATATATTTATGTTATTGTATTGTTATAAAGTGAATATGTGATTTTTAATTATTAACTTGTATATAAACAATTCAATGTTCTTATGTCATTTTTTTATTGGATATCTTTCTTCTTCCTTTTGTATACCGGTATACACTTAAAAACTTTTTATCTTCAAAATAATCTATTTTTTGTATATGACTGAAATTTGGGCTTGACATGACAAATTTATTTCTTGAGACTGCTGTTAAAATAATATTTTGAATTTGAACCTTGTGTTGTAGGGTTTTTTTCTGGTTACTTACCAAACTTGTTTCTTTGTGTGTTGCATTGTTGTCCTGCACTTTATATTAATATATTTGTAAAGAGGAACCCAGTTGAATTTCAGTTTAGGATATATTGGTGAAGACAAGGTCTATATCTGGGACAACATAAACTGTAGTATACTGTGACTGTATGATATACAAACTACTATCACAATGTTTTACTCATAAGAGTTTTTAATATATCAGATAATCGTGCATTTTATTTAAACATACATTATGCATGAGCTAAATCTGCCTATCGCAGGTCTTTCTTTAGGCCTGAAATGTTTTATAAATTATTAACTAGACATAATCAAATCTCAATGGCATTGGATACTCAAGATTTTAACTAGATTAGAATGGTTTGCCATTTAAAAATTTAATTTAAAAATGGGAAAGCGAGGCTAAGTCTCGAATATACCAGTGCCCTGGTCACCACTATGTGCACACATTTTGTGAAAACTACAAACAGTCAGAACTTGGCTCAGAATAAAGTAATTTGAATGAAATTTTCAATATACATTATCTATTTTTGAACTATTATAGCAAGAATGGTCAGCTCTTTATCTAAATCTTACATAATGTATCTTTAATTAATAATACCCTTCATTTTGTAAAGTTTGTGTTTTTGTTAGTGTTTTGTAAATATTTGTGCCAATTAAAAAATATCAATGCAATTTTCAATTATATCTATAATATGTATTTTACTGCCTGCAGGAGGCAGGGAACTGGACCAAGGGATTATAAAACTCTTTTTGACTCAAATAAAGAATTACTTAGTAACTTCCACGATATTAATGGACTGTAGCAATTCATCTAATCTGTTAGTCAGATCAGGGGGCAGGGAGTTGCCAGTAGACATGAGCCTTTAATTTAAAGGAGGCCATTTTCCTCTGATAGAGGCAAAGAATTGGTAAAGATTTTGGATGATTCGTATAATTATTAATACAGATAAAATATCAAAAATGTAACTGAAAACAGCTTATGTTATTTATAGCTCTACTTTTTTATTTTTGGTTACTTGCATGTATTAAACATTGATTATAAAAATGTTGAATGAGCTGTTTGAAATGGAGCCTACATTTTCCACCTGGCCTTGGTCAATTACAAGCTCAATATGGGTCTGGTTATTGTCAAATGGAAATTATTTATACTATTTGAAATATGGATAGCACCAGGGATCTTAATCAGCTGGTCTTTGTCTGCTTTTACTATAAACACAATTACTGGTAAGCAACTGAAATTTGAGTAAATCTTGAATTGAGTCCCCCAAAATATGTTTTATGGCCCTGGGTCCAGATTATTTTCATTTGATATTAGTAGTTATTTACCTTTGATTAAATATTGATAATTAAATAGTGTGTATGATGACACTTAACAATATTATAATCTTCTGGTTGATGATGATGGTTGAATGACCTCTTGTACATAGATAATACTAATTTTCCCACGATACAGTAGATGTACTAATTAATAGATTATAATGTCTGGACTTCGACACCTGAAATGTATTTATTAATATTATATCATCTGGACTTTGGTAATCACAATCACAATAGTGATTGATAGCCACACACATGACTAAGTCATTTGACCTATCTGGACACCTATGTGGATGACTCATCAAACATCTAGGGGGAGGATCCAGGTGGTCAGGACTTCCTCTTGCTCTGTCTCAATTTGGGGGTTCCGGGATCCGAAATTGTCGGAAATAGCATTTACAGAGTCCAATTCCTCCAACTTTTCTGGGGGAGATCACCCAGACCCCTGCACCATTGGCTTTGTGCCAAAGTGAATTGTCACTACAACACTTTAATATGGAGATGTGAAATTTCTTGACCTGTCCCTGCTGAGAGTCCTTGATTTGCTCCTGCTGATACAAAAAGCATTGGCAAACTGAATATTTTTGACAGAATCGTAATATTACAACCCACAGAACAGTCTTAATTAAAACAACAAAAGCAGTAATAGATGTATTGAAAACTGTAGACAGTCTTATTCACAATTGTCAGAAGTTAAAAATATCAAAACCATTCATTACGATTAATTAGGATAAATCCACTACTATATTAAAAATACATTATGCAAGAGCTAAATCTGCCTATTGCAAGTCTTTATTTCGGTTTCAGATGTTATAGAAATAATTAATTAGACCTTTATTTAGATGACAAGCTCAAAATCAACTCTGTAGACCCTTGGATGGCTTGGATACAGCTTGGATTTAAACAGTCATCCATTTAAAATTAAATCAAGAAATGGCCGACCAAGCTAACGTTTACTGTTAGTCACTGACGTCACCACCGGAAACTTGTTTTGAAAGGCCTACCAAGCGAGGGTACCATAGCCAATGAGAATGTTACTTGATAATCGAGAATATGTGGGTGGAGTTAGGAGCTATCATCTGTCAATCAAACGATCGACAATTCTCGTAGACGGTGCGGACACAGTTGATGCCTATTTCTTGTCCAAACTTTCAACAGTGACAACTCCGTTCAGAATAAAGTAATTGGACTGAAATTTTCAATATTTTCTTTTTTTATCATCTATTTTTGAATTATTATAGCAAGAATGGCCAACTCTTTATTAAATAAAGAGCTGGCAGTTCTCACTACAATAGTTAAAAACTAGATAATGTAAAGGGAATTTGCTGAAAATTGCAGTCAAATGATCCACTCTGAACCAAGATTTTAGCGATTGAATTTTCGGCCTAGCCTCAATATCATGCTAAAGTCAGTATGATAAAAAAACATAGTCTCATTATCCATTTCATGATTAAATTATGAATGGAAGTCGAACAGAGAATCGGAACCTAATCGAATAAAGACCGAAGGCTGGCGATGACATCGAGAGCTGATTATGGTCTAGATAAGTTAATTAATGTCTAATTAATAATTTAGATAACATTTCAGGCCTAAAGAAAGACCTGCAATAGGCAGATTTAGCTCTTGTATAATGTATGTTTAAACTCTTAACTAATGTATCTTTAAGCAAACTATATATAGGCCTACCTATGTATGTAACTATGTATATTTATATATATTTAATTTTGTCTTTTTCAATATACCATGTAATTATGTAAAGTAGCCTATTTGAGAAATAAATCGTAATGTAATATAATTACAGTATTTTTTTTTCTTTTATTCTATATATAGCAACTGGTAGTTCATATGATGTCCACTGAACACTAACTGGGTAATTTTCAGAGCAGGGGCTAAAAGTGTTTAGAGCCCTCTATCACATGGAGAGAGAAAGAGAGGGGGGTTTAATGTCTACTCAACGCAAACTATTTCATTTGGGGACCAACATATGGTTGCGCGTAGGGGTCCAACGAGGTTGGGCTCTCAACAATATAAATGGACTCTCAGATTCTTATCCTAATTACGTACATCTCAATCATATTGCTCAACCAGTCAAATATGCTATTAGTATAAAGTGGCCGAGCCCCAAAATTTCATGGTGGTGCTATTGGGCGTGGATTTAAGGGGGGACGTGTCCCCCCCTTAGAATTTTGATTGCCAGGACAGATTTTCAGGTTTATATCCACATGATGTTGAGCTTGTTTCTAGGTATCTGGAACTGAATCGGGACTTGGAACAAGAATTGCCATTCTTCAAGCACCAGTTTTAGGCCAAATCTATTTCACTTGTGCACGAAGGGTTCCTCATTATGTCACCTGATGTTCCCTTCTGTCGAAGCTCTTCTCATCTCACACTGCTGAAACCTGCTAGTTCCTGCTCAGCATGCGATTCTTCAGCACTCTGCGCCGTATCAAAACTTGGCTGCGCAACTCCATGACGCAAAACCCACTGAACCACTTGTTGGCGTGTGTGGTGCATAATGACCCCCTTCATGTCGCCAAAATATTCAAAGAGAACGTCCTGATCGTAGAACGAACGTCTTTGGACGATTCACTTAACTTCATGAACAATTTATATTTATGCAGCTTTGATGTAGGTAGTCAATTTTTCCATATTGTCATCATATTACCCCTTGTTCCAGCCTTCATCGAAATAACGCTGGTACAGCTGTAAATTGTTCGTAATTATTTATTTCGTTTGGTAATGAAATGTTCCAGGTTCCAGGATTCGTCCGTCCCCCCCCCCCCCCCAAAGTTATGACAAATCCACGATCTTGGTGGTGCCGCAAGGGATGGGTTTGGATTGGATTCGGGGAGAAAACTGGACCCCCACCTACACTACTACCTTGGTTCTTTAACGTCTGCTTCCGACTATAGTTCGACATAAGTGCCCCCCAGGCCATAATAATCATATTTCTTTCATTATATAGCCTACCGTTCTACCCAGTTCTAAAAGTGGACTATTCCCACAAGCTATAGGTCTATCACACAGAAATTTACTCTGTGGGTCTATATTGTACTGTCGAAGTGCACATACGGATCAGGCTATTTCCCGTGGAGGGGTGTGAACTGCCATTGCCATTTAATTCAACAAATAATTGTAAGTGAAACATTCTAGGCCCTAGTCGCATTTCTCAAAACGAGTATTATTTATTACATCAAGTGAAAGTCACTCCAGAACATAAAACAATGATGTTCTTGAACAGCACTCCTATATAATAGAATTTGCCATGTTGATTCAAGCTATCGGAATTGTCAAATGCATGGGAAGCAACTCCCGTTTTATAATTCCTGCTTTACATCCGGGGAATTTGTAATCAGCTCATTAATTATTTACCGGAACCGTTTCAGCAAAATCTAAAGAACGTAAACAAGTGTTAGATTTACCTTGATTCCTACAGATTAAGACATTTACTTTACAAGAAAGTAAGACTAGCGTAAGTACGAAGAATAGATGTAAGTATGAGAACAGTCTTCTTAGGCTTAGTCGCAAAATTCCCGCGAAAAAAGTGATTTTCAGGCGTTTATACCTATAGGCTATATTGATAGGTCTATCTTTGGTCAAAATAAAAATCCCACCGGTATGTAGCCTAAATCCTAATTAAAATTATATGATCTAGATCTACCCTTCTGAACTTTAATTTTATAGGACAGAGTAATTAGCCATCGAAATAAACATTACGAATTATCAGCCTTATAGGCTCCTTGTGCCGTATTTTGTAAAAAAAAAAAAAAAAAAAAAAAGAAATTTTAAAACATCATTTTAGAGTCTAGCCTACGACCGTACCTGGACTGCTGGAGAGACCACCAAATGTAGCCAATGGCCCAATGCCAAATGTAGGCCTACAATATAGCCTACCATATCCTAGAAAGAAATCAAATTTTTCCAAAACCCCAATCTACACATCTACAATTCAAACAAAGCAGAAACAGGATGCCATAGCGCTATGGATTTCTCCTATTAGTACCGGTGTGACAGTTTGAATTGTCTCCTTCCCAGTGTGTGTTTGCTCCTGGGCACTTGTGCACATTCGAAAGTATTGTTAGCATTAACAACCAAACTATATCTACTTCCGGTGCGAGATGGTTCCTGATCACTGATCAGTTCAGAAAAGGGAAAACGTATTTGATAAGAGTTTTGTCATTCATGTATAGCCTACTTGTTACCGTGATTAGCTGTTGTTTTAGTGATCAGTAGTTACACGATCAACAGATCTAAGTTGATTGGCTTGAAATTGATAGTTCTATCGTCCGTGATTTGTTGCCGTTGTTTTTATACGCCCACATTTCATGTGGACGTATTATGCCGTCGCCTCTGTCCGTCTGGACGTCCGTCCGTCCGTCCACAATTGTTTGTGGACTCTCTACAGGTCACAATTCTTATCCGATTTTGACGAAACTTGAAATATAGGTTTATCCCCAAAAGATCTCGGCTGCTTTCGATATTGGCATGTATCGGATCGAAACTTCATGGATTATGGCCCCTGATTGTACGAAAAATCACGTTTTTAGCTTGTGGACCCTATAGAGGTCACAATTTTTATCCGATTTTGTTGAAACTTGAAATGTAAGTTTATAACCCAAAGATCTCGGTTCCTTTCGATCTTCGCGCATATCAGACCGTAACTTCCTGAATTATGGCCCCTGATTGTACGAAAAATCACATTTTTAGCTTGTGGACACTATAGAGGTCATAATTTTTATCCGATTTAAAAAAACATATTATTATATCACCGTTCCACCCTAAGGAAGTTTGAGTTCGAATTTCGTGAAAATCGGTCCAAAATTGACAGACAAAATGGCCGCCGTTCGTTCTCAAATAGCGTAAAAATATGGTATATCAAGGTTGTGGACCCTATAGAGGTCACAATTTTTATCCGATTTTGTTGAAAATTGTAATGTAAGTTTATAACACAAAGATCTCGGTTCCTTTCGATATTCGCGCATATCGGACTTTAACTTCCTGAATTGTGGCCCCTGATTGTACGAAAAATCACGTTTTTAGCTTGTGGACATTATAGAGGTCATAATTTTTAGCCGATTTAAAAAAAAGTATTATTATATCACCGTTACACCCTAAGGAAGGTTGAGTTCGAATTTCGTGAACATCGGCCCAAAATTGACAGACAAAATGGCCGCCGTTCGTTCTTAAATAACGTAAAAATATGGTATATCAAGGTTGTGGACCCTATAGAGGTCACAATTTTTATCCGATTTTGTTGAAACTTGAAATGTTATTTTATTACACAAAGATCTCAGTTCCTGTTGATATTCGCGCATATTGAATTGTAATTTCCTGAATTATGGCCCTTGATAGTAGGAAAAATCACTTTCTTGTTAGCTTGTTCTCTATCCATCTCTCGAAAATGTGGGCGTATCCTGCCTGGCAGCCGCTGGTTTTGTTTTAGTGATTAGTCGTTACACTTTATTATGTTGTAATAATTAACTTTTTTGTACATTGAATATTGGCCTTTATATGAATGGGATTTCTCTGTAAAATTTAATAGTGTAGAAACCTATTTGACCGTAAGAAAATCTTAGGGGAAATCCTATCACGGGGAGTCAATGCACACCGTGTTGATAACGGTGTAAGCTGACTCCTACAACTGCGCATGCACTAAACGGTCATCACACACCAGGAACCATCTCACACTGTCACACCGGTAGCCTACTAATTTACAAGCTAGAAAAGAATACAAAATCCTGATATTTTTTTTCAGGTTTATATATTTACATGAAGTTTTGAAATCCAGCAGAATCTTGATTTAAAATTTTCAAAAGTGAAAGATTTAAATGATATTCAACATCATCAAAAATATAAAAATGTGTCCAGAAAGTTTAGGCCTGTTGTGAGGGTGCTTTGAGCAGCACGTTCAAACAAATTGAACGTCTGTTAAACCTATCCGTCATCATTAAGCAAAATCTAAACATGTTGATAAACAGAAAGACAAGTTTTAAGGACAGTATGCCAATAGCAGACTATGGCCCCGAAGACAACATGTTAGATAATACGGATATAGAGTGGGTCAACAAAGTATCTGTTCGTCGTCTGTTCAGATTTTGTGCGCTATTGAGCATGCTGTCCGTGAGTATGAACACTCCGAAAACGTTTGAATCCTATCCGGAGCTGATGTATGTGACATTCACCATTGATATGATCATCACGTTCATCTTCACAGCCGAGATGATCGCCAAGATGCACATACGAGGAGCGTGGAAAAATAGATACAGGGTAAGTACATGTATATCATTTAAAATTTTTTAAAAAATAAAGTAGCGGTATAGATTTATGATTTATACGGTGGATGTTTAGGTGTCTATAAGTTCTGTCATTGCTTCAAGTCACATGGTTTTGTTCGCTCACTTGCACATGTCAAGGAGACGGGTCACTTGCCTAACCTTATGGTGTTTCTCTGAGTCCTCAGGTCAGGGACCCATTGGTCTGGGTTGATAAAAACAAATTGACATCTTCGCATCCACTGAAAAATAAAATGGCCTTAAATCCATCAGAAAAATGATCTTTGAGTGACGTATGGAAAGATGAATCAAGTCAAGCTGGTTTTGTTTTCTAATTCTAATAAAATGTGGAATTCAAGACCCCTACATGCAAGGGAATTACTTAAAAAAGATTGTACCATATGATAATCCCAATAATAACCTAGTTTGTGTTGAGTGGATAGTAAACCCAATTTCTATATCTTTTTTTAACAGAGTGAGGCACCATATCTAAGAGACCGATGGTGCCAGTTTGATGGAGTTATGGTTCTTTGTTTGTGGGGTTCTGTTGTTCTACAGGTAGTAAGATGTGAACTGTTGATCTGAGCAATTGGTTCTCTTTTATTCTTAGAGTTGTGTGGCATATTGGAATTGTGATTACTTGAAATTATCTAGTCAGAACCCTGGCCACGAATCTTTTATAATATGGATTAACATCAAAAACTTAACTTTGTATTTTATCAAGGTTCAAACTGAATTCATATAGCAGATTATCCACTTAAAATTTGGTTGTATGCCAGGAAAACTGTTGTACTAAGCTTTGTAAATACAAAGAACCATTTATCTGTGAAAGCATTGGGCTTCCACCGTTATCAACTTCTCAACAAGATACAATTTCTATAAAGATATCTGAATTTTTTATAATTTTTATATAAATTTTCAGGTTTTTGAATTGACCAACAGAATTCCACCAAACTCGGCTGGATCGGCATTAAGAATTTTACGATCGCCACGGCCACTGATTATTGTCCGTGTTTTTAGAGTCTTCCTGAAATTTCAACTTCCTAGAAATAGAATAAACCAAATTTTCAAGTAAGAGTTGCAAGTATGGTAATATTTGTCAAAATATTCAGGAGGAATATGTACCTACATAAAATAGGAGTCTGTTTTCACATCGTACATAAGTAATTAACAATTTACTGGAACCACATAAATTGGAAATACTTATTTGTATGAAATCTTTTACTTTGTGACATTAAATAACCCAACTGTTTTTGTGTCTGGATTAGTTAAAAATAATAATTTCTGAACAAGTGGAAATTTGATTTTCCAATCAGGACAGTCAAAATCGGTTACCAAAGTACAAATATAGACGAACTTGTGTTTTATAACTAGAAGTGATACATCAGTCCAAATTTCTTTTCGACTGGACACTCAATTGGATCCCACATTCGCAGGTTAGCAAGGTTCATCTGCATACTTCAATGTATATAAAAGAATTCTAATGCATATTTTTTTTTGTTTTTCAGACGGTCAAGTCAACAGATCTATAATGTCACAATCTTCTTTCTCTTCTTTATGTCCTTGTATGGTATTCTTGGTGTACAATTCTTTGGAGAAATGCAGCATCACTGCGTTAAAAATGGAACTCATCCTGAGTAAGTTCACTTCAGTGACCTTTTGTTGACCGTTTAATAGAGTTACTTCCCTTTACATCAGAAATTTAAAAGTACAGGAATCAGTGTTGATGTTTTTATTTTTTAAAAATAAGAATGGTTCATGCAGCCCATGTTGAGTGATGCATCTGTATCTGAGATCCAATATTGTTTTTATGGCCTTATATATCAATGTTTAGGTGATATAGCCTGGGGATGCTCTTATCTTGAAGGATGCCATATTGTATTTTGAAAAATGTCTCTTTGCTTCAGTTATACTTTATTTGTTATCACATTTGATTCATCAAATTTCCATGCTGCTGATAATCTGATTAAAACACAGATACTATTTAGTTTTACTTGTCTTTACTACTCTAGGATCTGGAAGAGTTGTTATCACTGATGTGTTCTGGATGATGTTAGGGATTAGCCAATGAAATGGTCTGTTACTGCAAGCTTTAGGCGTGTTTTGCACGGAACTGTTCGTAATCCATTAGAAACATCAATGCTGATTGGTTAATTAAATGTCTGATGTCATAGGGTCAAAAGCCACTCGTATGACCTCTGACGCGACATGTCACTACAACTTGTCAGATCTTCATGTAAATGTAGGCCATTGAAAATATAAAAACAACGAAACGAAATATAGATCTGTATTTTAATCAGATTGTGCCACTGACTTTCCTCCAGCAATCTTTATTTACTGTATAAAGAAATATATTAGAACAATTCAGTATGAACCAGGAACCATCCATGGTGTCATCACAGCCATCTTGAAAATGGGATGTCATATCAAAAATCAAAGCCATTCGATTGATGAGCAATTGTCCAAAGAAGAAGCACACCAAATTTTATGTCAATTGTACTTGAATTTGCAAGCTTTAGGCTTAAAGATTAAGAAGTGTATGGAACCAGGTCTGTGTTCTTCATTGTTCAATTTTAAAGTGTTATACAATTGTTATTTGTTTGATTTCATAGTACTATAATAATATGAAAACTGTTGTTTTTATAGTAATGTAACTGTATGGGATTTAGCTGTACCTGATACATATTGTTCACCTGTACCAGGTGTTGGCTATCAATGTCGTAAGGGTATGGTTTGTGTTTATCTAGATCTATCTAAAGATGTCATGGGATTTAACGGATTTGATATGTTTGGTAAGATATCTTTATATTAACCTTTCAGAGTATTAGAGTAATGGTAGGGTGCCAAACAATAAATAAATATCTCCAAATATTTTGACAATTTACCACAATATTTATATATATATATATAACAAGCCTTAACTTAGTTTCTCACATTTATAGTCACTAAATAAACAGTCAAGTTAATATAACAGTGACGGCCTTAAAACCTTTAGCCAAATCAAAATTTTATTAGCCAATTCAGAAACTTGAAGCCAAATATATTTCTATTCATGTGTTTGTTAATAAAAAAAAAAAATATTTAATATGTACTTATTTATGCACAAGAGTATTATTTTATTCCCTGGACTGTCCGAAAGTTCACATTTGCGAGGATGCAGGCAACAAAAAATCAATCACATTCACATTGTCGCCGTCAGTAACTTTCTAGAAGAAGTGGAAGTTTTATCTGCCGTTTCGTTAATATTGTGCTTCACGAATGGAGGTAGTAAAAATGAATCTATCCTTATTTTCTGTATGGAAAATAAATATTATTAATCATTATTCATTATGGTAATTTAAAATATAAATTCATTGGAAAAATTATAGCTAAGCGAAAGTAAAACGCAACAGCCTCGTACTAGGGACGTAACCGTGTTTGAAAGTTAAGTCTCGAGACTCGATCTTTCGGTCATTTTTAAAATGCGTAACCATTGACTAATTTGCCACTTGCAAGATTGAGACTAGAGTCAATTTATGTGTTGGACAAGACAATTTCAAGATTAAAATTAGAAGATTTTCGAAATTACACTCCCTAAAATTCATTTGCCAAAACTTTCAATGATCATCAATTTGATCGCCAAAAAAAGAATTATTGCAGCATCACTGCGTTAAAAATGGAACTCATCCTGAGTAAGTTCACTTCAGTGACCTTTTGTTGAACGTTTAATAGTGTTACTTCCCTTTACAGCAGAAATATGAAAGTACAGGAATCAGTGTTGATGTTTTTATTTTTTTAAAATAAGAATGGTTCATGCAGCCCATGTTGAGTGATGCATCTGTATGCCATTTAAACATCAATAAAAAAATAGACTGTCATTACATCCAGCATTTTTTAATGCAAAATAGGTTACAGGCCCTTTGTTTGAAATTATGCCCACTAAACTAATCTACCGAGCATTCTCCGGTTGATTGACAGGATAATCAAGACTTTTTTTACGAAACATGACAGAAAGTTAGAACAAGAAATCGAATTTAGAAAGAGGCACGTTAGGCAACTTAACAATTGTTTTAAGAACCGTATAAAAAATATAACAAAACTACTACCGCTAGTATCCTGTTCTTGCCTAACCCAAGTGTTTCAGAGATATTATTTGTACTAAACCAAAAGATGCCGAAGTATAGTTAAAGGTAAAGAAAATTTTAAAAAAACAAACAGAATTTTCTAAAGCTGCTGTAACACGCAATAAGCTAAATTTTACTTTTGTTTTGTATCGTTAACAATATATTTTTTACGGCTTTAATAGTTGATAGATGTGTAGAAAATTTCACGTGCAATGTCTATTTATAGCCTCATAGAATATACTCTGGGTTATGCATGTGGTCATATCTGCTCTGTAATCACTTGGCAACTTGACAATACAGCGTGAACATTGGCTGCAGTGACACCCTAGTAACAGCTATATGTTTAGTTCAAAAGTTATTGAGATCTATCAATTCTAATGTCAATTATGGTCTTTTTAAGTTAACATGGATTTCCACAGGTGTGCATTTAAGCATAATAACCATAACTATTTAAATATGTATGTGGACAATCTGGCGTGTCATGCATTTGATCTATTTTATGCAGTAGATTTGATATTGATCAAATGTTGCTGTGTTAAACAAAACTACTAATGTGAACAAACTGAACAGTTGATACACAACTCTAATTGTAATGTACCTTACCAATGTCTTGTTTTTCCAGCTACAAGTATATTTACTGTATATCAAGCTGCATCACAAGAAGGCTGGGTGTTCTTGATGTATCGTGCTATAGACAGTTTACCAGCATGGAAGGCCTTTCTGTACTTTATATCGTTGATCTTCTTCTTGGCCTGGTTAGTTAAGGTAAAACTAGGCTTATTTTTTCCTTAAATGTGGCATTTTAAATGAAGCAAAATTCTTTTAAGTTCTGAATGAAATATCAGATGCAACGAAAAACAGAGGTAGACAACAGACTAGATTTTGACAGTGCAATAATGATCCCATAATATATGCAAGGCAACTTTAAAACAAAGTATACTGACACATGTCCCTGTCAGGGGTCTTGATAACCAGGTTTGCATCGCTCTTTGCGAATCAAATCTTGTCCGTTGCTAATCAATTTGCTACAAAGTAGCTAACTTGATTCACACAAATGCTAATCATAAATTTTTCTTTTTTTATTTCTCACATGGACAATTTTATGTCCCCTTTTTATACGCCCACATTTTCATGTGGACGTATATTGTCGTCGCCCCCGTCCGTCCGTCCGTCCGTCCATCCGTGCGTCCACAATTGTTTGTGAACAGTCTACAGGTCACAATTTTTATCCGATTTCAATGAAACTTGAAATATAGGTTTATCACCCTAAGATCTCGGTTCCTTTCGATATTGGCATCTATCGGACCGTAACTTCATGGATTATGGCCCCAGATTGTACGAAAAATCACGTTTTTGGCTTGTGAACACTGTAGAGGTCACAATTTTTATCCGATTTTGTTGAAACTTGAAATGTAAGTTTATAACCCAAAGATCTCGGTTCCTTTCAATATTCGCGGATATCGGACCGTAACTTCCTGAATTATGGCCCCTGATTGTACGTAAAAACGCGTTTTTTGGCTTGTGGACCCTATAGAGGTGAAACTTGAAATGTAAGTTTATAACCCAAAGATCTCGGACCGTAACTTCCTGAATTATGGCCCCTGATTGTACGTAAAAACGCGTTTTTTGGCTTGTGGACCCTATAGAGGTGAAAATCGGCCCAAAACTGACAGACAAAATGGCCGCCGTTCGTTCTCAAATAGCGTAAAATATGGTATATCAAGGTTGTGGACCCTATAGAGGTCACAATTTTTATCCGATTTTGTTGAAACTTGAAATGTAAGTTTATAACACAAAGATCTTGGTTACTTTCGATATTCGCGCAAATCGGACCGTAACTTCATGAATTATGGCCCCTGATTTTACGCAAAAACGTGTTTGTACGAAAAATCACATTTTTAGCTTGTGGACCCTATATAGAGGTCATAACTATTATCCGATTTAAAAAATCATATTATATTATCACCGTTACACCCTAAGGACGACTGAGTTCGAATTTCGTGAAAATCGGCCAAAAACTGAAAGATAAAATGGCCGCCCTTCGTTCTCAAATAGCGTAAAAATATGGTATATCAGAGGTTACAATTTTTATCCGATTTTGTTGAAACTTGAAATGTAAGTTTATAACCCAAAGATCTTGGTTCCTTTTGATATTCGCGCATATCGGACCGTAACTTACTGAATTATGGCCCCTGATTGTACGAAAAATCGCGTTTTTAGCTTGTGGACCCTATAGAGGTCATAATTTTTATCCGATTTAAAAAAACGTATTATTATATCACCGTTACACCCTAAGGACGACTGAGTTCAAATTTCGTGACAATCGGCCCAAAACTGACAGACAAAATGGCCGCCCCTCGTTCTCAAATTGCGTAAAAATATGGTATATCAAGGTTTTGGACGCTATAGAGGTCACAATTTTTATCCGATTTTCTTGAAACTTGAAATGTAAGTTTATAACTCAAAGATCTTGGTTCCTTTCCTTTCGATATTTGTGCATATCGAATTGTAATTTCCTGATTTATGGCCCTTAATTGTATGAAAAATCACTTTCGTTTTAATTTGTTTTCTATCCATCTCTCGAAAATGTGGGCGTATCCTGCCTGACAGCCGCTGGTTAAGTGTAAAAAGTTGTGGATAGTTTCTATAACGGTTTTTCGACATTTCTTCACCAGTTTAGTCATGATCATCTAGTATCTAATACCTATTACCATTCACGTCAATGCCTATTACTGCTAAAAGCAAAGTTTTAGCGCCCCCTATATTACGCGGAATTATATCCCGTTTTTTTTTAATGACAGGAGGTTTTTTTTATAAAATAGAAATAATTTAATGATATTCTTAACAAAATGGGCTAGATAGTATGGAATATATAAAAAAGGTAGGCACTAGTATTAATGCGGGTACTAAATGACGTGTTTACAGAATTTATAACAGAGATTTGCGGCAGAGAATTTTCGATCGACAACAGCAATGTTGTTGTAGGCTAATGTCTTTTAAATTTACCGATGGTCCGATGTATCATCGATGCACTGCAAGTATTAATGTTTGCTCCCGATGCAACGACGCGCCAAATATTATTTGATTGATATCAGCAATGATGAGTGAATGACTGTTACGTCAACAACTGACATGGTCGTGAATATTGAATGTTCAAAAGACGAATACTACATTTCTTATCGGTTAACATTTGTAATGAGAGAGAATACACAGCAATGAGCAGACCTTGCAATGTTTATAACATTAATTTTGAAATAATGTGACTGAAATAAAGCTTTGCATGATATTGTAAAATTCAACAGATACAGACTTCTTCAATCACACTTTTCAGAAATTGTAGTCTATGGATATTCATATACTCACACTGCTAATCAAAACTAGACATTGCTATTAATTTGCCTGAATTTATCTAACTTGATTAGCAGTTCTGGTAATCAAGTTTGAAAAGTTATTAAGACACTTGGTCCCTGTATGCACCAGCTACATTTACTAAATTTAGACCTTACCCAATATTTTGAAACCTTCAAATGTAAATTTTGTGTAACAATAATCTAACCATTATATGTGTTCCTGACATCTGGAATTTAAAGAATGAAAGTCAGATTACCACTGTCAGGCAAAATCCCAATATCTCCCTCTGCACTCTTCTCATCCTCACTGCATTGTAACAGTAAATAAAAAAGAAATATATCAGTTTTAGGAAGATCTGGATAGTTATGTAAGAGATATTAACCATTCTCCTTTCTTGTATTATTTTTGTAGAATGTATTTGTATTATGTATTTTGTAGAATGTATTTATAGCTGTAATTATTGAGACGTTTGCTGAGATTCGCGTACAGTTTCAACAGATGTGGGGAACACGAGGTAGTGCTGCTGAATCAGATTCTTCACAGGTATTGTTTGATATAAATTCTTACAAAATAATGACGTCAATCCTAAAGTAGACATGGGCAATTTTTTAATATCCCAATATCCCATTTCAGTTTTGGATATATTTAATCTCACTATTGATTGTAAATTGCATAAACATACTAAACCAGAATAGCATATTGAGATTTACATGTTCACCACAATTTATAAAGTAGAGTTTTAAAGATTTGATAAATCCTAATATAAGTTATGGCCATTTGAAGTTTACATTAATTTCTATTGATTTCGTATTGAGAGAGAAATGTGGTTAACATCCACTCGACACAACTAGGTCATTTCGGGACTAACACATGATTCAACTCACTGATGGGATTTCAAAATTTTACTTGTCGGACATTTTACCGAAAATAAAGGGGCATAACTCTTATCATTATTTAAGCAGACGAATTTGTACCACAATTAAAAGTCACATGTCAAAATATTCAAATCCCGTACGTAATAAAAATCGGTGAACCTCGCTATTTTTCATATTTAATTCCCGTACAGTATTCAATTCATACCACAATTAAAAACCACATGTCAACAAAATATTCAAATCCCGTACGTAATAAAAATTGGTGACCTCGCTATTTTTCACATTTAATTCCCGTACGGCATTCCTACAAAATTAAGCATTTTCGTGATATGTTGAATGAAAGCTTGCCGATCCTGCTTCGGCATCAAATTCACAATCATAATATTCCTTTAGAATTACGTGTCTTCGTTTATACGGCAGCAAATGAATGCAGAATTTCCGAAATAGTTAAATCACTTGTAAACAGGCATAGCTAACTTCAGCGAATAACACTCTTTCATAGTCATGACAGAGTGACAGGCATCATAGGCAACACAGCAGAATGATTGACGCCTACAAATACGTAAGAATTTCTGCTCATATAGCTATTGGTAGCCCCTCCCCTTTTTGTTATTTTGCTGGGTGCGTACTAGTCTCGGTCACCCAGAAACTCCTAGTCTTCAACATATTCGTAGAATATTTTTCTTGATAATAGAGACTAATAGCCTACGTGACTCATCACACGGCTTCATAGTAAGCACTGCCTAATAATATGTTAAGCAATATTCGTGCCGCGCTCGAGATCAAGGGAAAGTGCCACTGTGGATGAGAATTTCTATATGGATTCTTAAAAGACGTAAAAGATATCGTAGACAAAATGACTGTCCATTGATTTAGGGTGTTATTTACTCTTACGATATGTGACATCTATGATTAGTTTATTATAGATGATGTCGGCTCACATCAATGCGATTAAGATGCCCGACAAATGAGAAACCACGAGGTAAACAGGTGGATTAAAATTATAATCATTCTTATTGAATTGATGAATAGTCCGACAAAAGGAAAGCAATGACTTCTGTTTAAGATTAGATTGATGAATTGTCCGACAAAGGATTAAGTCAGTCAATCAAGGCAGATTAAGTAGTTAAATCAAGGTAGGTTTATACTATAGACGGTATAACACGATAAATACGTTGATCACTTAATTACCTAATAAACCCAGCGTATTATCGACGATAATCGGGTTGACTGGTAGTTATACACTCAGTAAACTATATTAATTTCGGAATTTTGAATATTATTCACCATGTCTTGATGTCCGATTGGGCATATCATCAGTTGATCGAAATTAGGATTTTTCTACTACGGCCAGTATGCAGTAGCCAAAATAAGCTGATACAATACCATGGCATCTCTTCATATTAAAAACACAAATTACTGTTTTTGTCTATCATCTAACTTACAAAGTTTTTATTCGTTCGTGGATGATGGATGATAGACAAGCGGCACAATGATCAAGTGACAACCATAATTAAAATTGCTTGAAATAAAATAAAATTCCATACAACTATGCCATATGAGGACAATATTTTTAAAAATAACTCCATAAAAAAGAATAAAACTAAAACTCTATTTAAAACTAAATCTAGCAATGCTGGTTTATTGACCTAATTCCAACGATGCATGTCACATGTTATCGAGAATCCGAAAGTATTAGAGATCCTGATGGAAAAATATATTATTAATGTCTGTTTCTCGGGATATCCGGTGTTCTATCAGAGATTATTCAGTGACTATTTAAATTTAACTAACAACGGGCCGTTGAAACCATAAAATGTATATGGTGTTCTATCAGAGATTATTCAGTGACTATTTAAATTTAACTAACAACGGGCCGTTGAAACCATAAAATGTATTATCCAATTATAATTTTAATATCTACCTTGAATTTGTACTGATCGAGTGTTGAAGACGGCAAGAATCCCGAAATTCACAATCCATGTCGAGTGAGATGTCATCATTCGCCAGGTGGCTTATATTACTGGACCTGTTATGAATAACCAGCAAGCCCTTGATCACTTCAAATTATCTTGTGGATGCTCTAGAGGCTAAAGTTATCATCCGATTGACTTCAGATTGATAAGCAGAGTTTAAGGTCTTGAGACGAACAAGTATATTGATTTTCAATGAATTTTGATAGCTTGAACAGCTAAATCCATGATATTAAATGTTTCGTATACTAAACGTTAGCATGGAGCAGAACTTTATAAAAACCAAACAAATTCTAATGATTTTCTGGGAATTACTTAATGAGTTGTTACTCTTAATCAGATTTTAGTGTATTATAAAAGTTTCATTACTGAAAAAGGTAAAAATATGCGACAACTCTTGTTGACTGCCAGGACGATTTAGCTGCTGTGGGCGTATGTTTCGTTGCCTGGCAACCTATTTTTTTTTTTACCAAATTATCAAAATTACTGTTAAATGTGCTAATAACTCAGATTAAGAACCAGACAGCCGTTTCTCACTAAGGTATGACTGTTATTGTAGCCGACAAGCAAGTTGATTGTATTGACAGTATTTTTCGTTACCAGTATATTTTTCCTGATTATTTTCTTTGAGGGGAGTCAATTTAGACATTAAGGTGAGCTATAAAAAGTGCACCTCAACTCAATCCAGGCGCGCCCAGGAGAGCAAGAGCGATTGCGATCCTTGTATGTGAAGGCCTGACAATTTAGATAATACTGATAATATGCCCTTAGTTTTGAAAATTTTATGATCCAGCCATCAATTTGCTGCTTTATAGCCATACTGAATGTTTTTTGTTTTATAGGTTATTCAGTCTGATGGTGAATCATGGAAGTTAGTCATAATGGATGAAAATAAAGCCAAAGGATTAGCTCCAGCCATGTTTCAATCCATTTTAAAGTCTAATTTTTTCCACACACTTGTCCTGCTGCTGACATTAGCCAGTGCTATTACAGAGGCCGGTCTAAATTTTGATCATAAAACGAAAAATCCTGATAATACACTTGACAACTTTTATTATTCTGAGGTTTGTATTATTCTTAAGTGTGTGAAATTACCAAATAGAAATGCACCAACTGGTCTAATGAAGATATGCCATGCAGTGTGTTATGAGGGAATTTTTGCCCGGTCAGTAGCATTTCCACCTAATCTTCATTGAATTCCAACTGTCATGGATTCCTTTTACAGCCATGTAAACGAATGCACGGGTGAACCTTGTTTTTTAGTACCTTCTAAGCGACAAGATGCCTTGCTGTCTGTCCTGTACCAATCAGGAACTTTGTGTTACTGAATATGCAGTTTAAAAAATCCAATTTCACTGCTGAAAAATTAATGTTCATTTCTTTGGATTAAAAAAATGTTGTTTTATTAAGTTTTTTTGTATTTTTAGGTTGTTTTTACTGTATTATTTGACCTGGAAGCCATGTTTAAAATCTGGTGTTTAGGGTTAAGTGGATATTTAAAGAGATCCTTACACAAATTTGAACTGGTTTTAGCGATTGGTACAACTATACACATATTACCTGGCTGTTATAGATCACAACTTACATATTTTCAGGTATTATTAATTATAGTGTTTAAACTTCTATTTTATAGTGTTTAAAATTCTATTAAAGTAGGTGGAAAAGGTGATTTTGAGATTATGATTATACATTTGATTTTATTAGCTTTACAAGTAGATCTCATCATTCTTCTCACAAAACTTTTTACAGATTCAAAATTGGATGAAATTTTTTTTTTTTATGGAGGCTCAAAGTTGCGATTTTTGACTTTTCGCGGAAGAAAGGTTTTTCAACACCTTGAAAAAGTCATTTTTGGTGTATTTTGCGATGCCACATTTCTTTACATATCGAAACTATCAAAAATGTAGATGTAAATTCATGAAATACAACTTTACGGCTAATTGTGACTCGCCGCATCAATATGAGTCGGAATGCGGGAAAATTAATTTTGCACAAGAGACAAAATAAGCGAAATTGAGATTTTAACAAAAATGAGTCAATAAATATACTATCTATCGACTCAAAAGATCAAAATAGCAATAAAACATTTTAAAACGCCTTTATTTGGACGTTTTGTAAGAGTACCGTATTCTTAAATCTGTATTTTTCTGAATATTCTCAGTGGAATTAGATATTTTTCTCTGCTCGTAGCGGGGCGACCTGTCAATCCTTTTGCAAAATGCATGGCATCGTTGTAAAGCGGAGAATCTCTAGTTTATAAATATGACCAAAATATTGCCGATGAATTCATTTTGAAGGAATACAAAAGGGTTTTAAAACCCCTAAAAATGTAAACACACTCCGCTTATTGCTATGCTTCCAACACAATTCGTTTGCTGATTGGCCCAGACAATGCGTGCAAAGCATTGTGGTTCCGTGGCCGCATCGAGGCTCAAGCAGACGATAGAAATTAGATTTGGGCAATGTTATGGGGTGTCTACATGCGATTCACTCTGAGAAGTGGCAGAAAACAACTGTTGTTCTTGTTTATTAAAGATTTAACGTCCAATACAATGAATATGATATTATGGACAGGTTGATTTCATTAAATTATTTACACTTGAAAATTGTTAAAAACACAAAATAAAAAGATCCTCGGATACCAACAACTTAATTCTGAATTTGGTCCTATATAGATAGCCGTTGAGTGTTAATCAAAACATTGTAAATCAATCAACAAGCCGTTCGTGTCATTGAGTAATACTAATTCGTAATCACTTCTCACGGATTAATGATTAGTTGATTGATAATTAACAATGATAAGGCCACCGACAATTCATTATTTACTCCAAATAACTAATCAAAGCGGCGATGATTTAATGTTTCGTTTGGTCTGTTAGAAAATAATTTATAGTCCTTAAAAGGAAATAAACAAAATAGCCAATAATTTTCTTTCCGAATAGAATTTTATTGATAGGTGAATTCCGTTTACTGTCTTTCATACGGTATGCAAAGTTAAGAATGTATATTGGATATTATTATTGTTTAAAATTCTATTATCACCATGGGTCGGGAAAATGAGAACGACTAATGAGTCGAAACGTGACGATTTTCGAGTGGGAAAAATAATCTGCCATTGTTTTAATTACACCGCTTCCAAAACGAACGTAAGCATTTCATGCCAATGAAATTGAAATTTCTATTCTATTATGAACTCATATTTTGATACCGTTACGGTACCTGAGGCTTAAAATAACAATAGACTTATTGTACACGCAAAATCTTAATTCAGGCGTGCAGCTGTGGCGGCTTCTTTGATGATTAAGATAGGCTACTAAACTTGATTACCCAATCAACAACCTTAATCTTCTGACCACTGGCACCAAGGTGCTAAATAATTGATGCGATTAACTGATTAAGTTGTAATATACAAACTTAGACTACTAATGTATACACTGTTCTAAATTATAACGCTATCATAGTTAATGTGAATATGCCGCATTTGTTGTGGATGTTTTGCTATGAAAAGAGCGCATTTACAACGGTTTTCGTCTTCGGCACCCTTGAAAACCTAAAGAAGAAAATATTAATATTAAACAACAAAATAACGAAAGTTTTAATGGCATGGTTGCTGTGTGATATTGTTTTGGAACATACCGACACCTTTAACTTGCCTTTTCTAAAAACTGCAGATGTCAGTGCATTCAATTCATTTGCAACTGAGAGCTCGCCCTTTTCCATTCTCGAACGTTAAACAGTCGCCCATGCCCGATGAATTAATGAATTAAATTCTCGTAATGCAATTATATCCACTGTAAATAGCGTTTGTTTACAGCTATATATACACTGGCATCGTAACCGTGCCATACGAAAACTCCATAGTATATACAATGAAACTAGTTTCAATTAAGGTGTATAGTCAAACAATGTTAATACCGTATCTTTTAATTAGAACTCGGCAGTCAAAACAGTAGATCAATCAGCACCCAATTAATTAAGCTGTAAACAAGTCAAACCATATTAATACGGGATCTTTGATCATTAGTACTTTCTCTTTTAATTATTATTATAATCTTTTATTAAATTTAGGAGAGTTTTTAGCATACTGTTGTCTTTTGAAAAATGTTCTCTTTTCTTATACTTGACAGCATAAGGTGTTGAATACCGTCGTTTCATTGGTATACCCTACCCTGCAAGGTGTGACCATAACTGATGGGTGACCATAAAATCATCGAATATGTAAAATGATAAATATTCGTTGCATCGACCCAAAACCATGTTTTTCGTATTCAGCGCCCCCGAAAACCTCTAAAATTATATTTTACACGAGTACCTAGTATAAGAACTCCAATAATTGCCATTTTGGTGGCCATTTTGAAAAAACAAGATGGAGGATACAGTCCAGTCGATCGCTGATGCTACAACCTTTGTGCCTAATAAAACATATAAAATGACATTGCACCAGCCGATTACAAATATACGGTGATAAAAAACAACAAAATTGTCATTTTGGTCGCAATTTTGTTAAAACAAAATGGTTGATATTGTCGGATTAATTTTACTACTACGATTATCATTTCGGTCGCCATTATGAAAAACAAAATGGCGGGTATTATCGGATTTACTCTTATACTGCAATTATTTGATGTAGCACCCCCCAAAACCCATTCAATGACATTAATAAACACATAACTTATGAAAACTCGAAAATCTGTCATTTTGGCGTCCAATTTGAAAAAAAAGATGGCGGAAATTGTCGGATCAAATTTTTACTACAATTTTCGTCTTCAGCACCCCTGAAAACCTCTAGAGAACAATATTCAATGACAAAACAGCAAATAAATGGCTTGGTTGCTATGGGATTTTGTTTTGAAACATATCAAATCTTTAACTTAATTTTTCTCAAAACTTACTTTGGTGAGTTGGATGGCTTTAAGCAGTCACAACTCAGTCAATTTTTGCCCGATTCAAACAAACTATACATCAAATTGAAGAGAATGGGAAAATAACAATAACTCAATTTTCAAAATTTCCTCATTGTGACTCAGTATGCCATGGGGGGTCACAATTATGTTTTGATTTTCACATTTGTGTAACATTTACTCCGATTTCCCTAGCAACTCCAAAATACATAGGTTTTCTCAAAAATTCCATTTTGTCAAAGTGATTTTGGTCAATTTTTTCATCAAAAATGGTCTTGTCCGTGTTATATCTGAAATATTGAACCTGGTTGTTGTGCATTTTAAAATCAGTAGCTATCAAGTAAGATTAACGAAAAAAAAAGAGTAAAAATATTTATATGCCTTCTCTCAAGAGCTGGATATATGTACATTTTTTAACAATTTTCCGCGGCACACAATTTCCTATTTTTGGGGCGTTTTTGGGACATTAGTAAAATAAGAAGGAAGGGAGATACACAAGTGAAATTATGAGAATATGTCAAAAAGTTTGTGAATTTTTAAAATTACATATTTTTAATATTTTTGACCATTTTCAACGCTGTTTACCATGACCCAAAAGGTGATCACCACAATTAAAAATAAGCATTTTAAAATATTTGAAACCCATACCCATGTAATGTCAAATGATATGGATTGTATAAGTTTAAGCAAAATATTAAGGAGGTTGAGTGGTTACCATAGCAACCACTGTATATTTTTATAAAAAAAAGCATTATTTTCCAATAATTATGACATCAATATTGACAATTGTATTTTTTAAAATCAGAAGCTATTGGGCAAGATTTTAAAAAATAAAATAAAATCAAAATCTTTATATCTTCTCTCAAGAGCTGGAAAGAGGTTCACTTTTGAAAACATTCCACAGTAGCAAATTGCCCATTTTGGCTGGTATTAAGACATACTGTAAATGAAATATGAAGGAATTGAAATCTTGAAGTGAATTTTGTTTACAAGTCCAGAAGTTTGTGAATATTAAAAATTACATTACTCTTGTATATTTAACATATATTTTGTTGTCAGCAACCAAAACGAAAAACAAACCCCAAAAATGCAATTTTAAATCATTTTGAATTGTGTTTTTAACATAATGAAACATGTGATCACTGATCACCACATTTTAAAGAAAGCTTTTAGCATATCTAAAAGCAATGTGATATTAAATGTTATAAATTGTATAATTGTTATAAATTGCATAATTTTTAGTAAAATATTAAGAACTTTGGGTGGTTGCCATAGCAACTATATAATTTTAAAAATAACATAGCGGTAACTGTTGTTTCACTATTGTTTGTTCTCTGCATGTATTGCTTACATGTTACAAGAAGATTTCTATTTTGATACATTATTATCTAACAACATTGACCAATAAAAACAAATTATTTGTGGTGCATCTAAAAAATTCTCTAAAACTTTTAAAAGAAGACTAGGTAGGTACCCATATGACAGTAGGCTAAGGTACATGTAGGCCTAGGGAGGCACTAAATTAATGCTAAGATTTTGACTGTAAGAATTGTTTTGTTTTTATACGCCAACATTGAAATGTGGTCGTATATTGTCGTCTTTCCGTCCGTCCGTCCGTCCGGCGTCCACAATTGCTTGTGGACGCTCTGGAGGCTAAGGTCTTGAGACGAACAAGTATATTGATTTTCAATGAATATTTATGACTTAAACAGCTAAATCCATAATGTTAAAAGTTTTGTATACTAAACGTTAGCATGGGGCAGAACTTTATAAAAACCAAACAAATTCTAATGGTTTTCTGATAATTACTTAATGAGTTGTTACTCTTAATCAGATTTTAAATACTTCAAATTAGGCATGAACAACAGAGAATTAAGTAATTCAGAACATTGAAATACTTGTCTATGTTTGGCAATTTTTTAACGGTTGAAAAATATTTGGTGTTAAACGTAAAGGCGTGTGGTAGCTGAGAGGAAATTTCCCTTCGATAAAAGCGTGTGAATATGAGTCACGTGATGTGAACATTGTGGACCCTTGTCGAGAGGCATTAAAATAATGGAACTATCATTATGTCTTTTCAGGCAAGTCATTATTCATATAACATAACGCTTATTTCATAAATGAACAATGAGTTGCATTTGGACGTAATTTACCGTGAATATGGGTCTTAGGAACTTGAAATTATTTTTTTCTTCACGTGTTGAAATGATGTCATCACATGCCTGGCGAGGTCACTTAACATGCTCCGATTTTGTTGATTTTAATAGCATCGAAACACCAATAAAACAAACTTTCGATCGATCGGGGTGCTATATTGGCAAATTGCCTCAAAAAGAGATTATGTGAATTGAAGTGTTCAACTTAAAAAAAAAGCATGGTATTTTGAAATGTCAACAAAGCACCCCCGACTGATCGAGAGATCGACCAATTATCTTTCTAATGATATTAAAATGAAAAAGAAATATGAATGAGTGACTTCGCCGAGCATTTGAAGTAGGGTACCCTCGTTTCAAAACATGACAAAAATTTTCAGCGTAAGGTCAAAACACGGGAAATTGACGTTTTTCAACTTAAGCTTATGAAATAAATAAAACTAACACGTATATAAAAATTATATCAAACAAAAGAACATGATATCTGCTTCCAAAATATTTTTGAATTACTACAAAAGATTAAGTAGCCACTGTTTGATGTTAAGTTATAAAAAGGGTTACAAATCCGTAAAAAATTATAGTGTTTTAACTTCGATTTCTTATAGTGCATAAACTTTTTATATTAGTTATAGTGTTTAAACTCCTATTTCTACATATAGTGTTTAAACTTCTATTTCTTATAGTGTTTAAACTACTATTTCTATATATAGTGTTCAAACTTCTATTTCTTATAGTGTTCAGACTTGTATTTGCTATAGTGTTTATATTTCTATTTATTATAGTGTTTAAACTTCTATTTCTTAGAGTGTTTAAACTTCTATTTCTTAGAGTGTTTAAACTTCTATTCCTTATAGTGTTTATACTTCTAATTTTTTTTTAATAGTGTTTAGACTTCTATTTTTTTTGTAGTGTTTAAGCTTCTATTTCTTATAGTGTTTAAACTTCTATTTGTAATCTTATGGTTGTAGAAATGCTGCATTGTATTTAAGGATCAAATTTGGTCTCAAATGTTAGTTTAGATTTTATATCTGCAATTTATTATTTATTTGAATACTTACCAGTCTCTTGAACCGGATATTAGATGAGAAGACTCAAAAACGATTTTAATATTTGATAGAGTAGATTCTTTTGCATAGAATTTTCCTTGCTTCATTAACGGTCATTTGATGATCACATAAATTATGAGAGCATTATCAGTACCAACATGGTTCACAATTAGATCCTCACCCTAACAGAGTGTCCTCATGGTACAATCTTTATCCTGTAATAACGTCCAATAAAAACACATTATCACTGTTTTCCAGTCTACCAAGTTATAATTCGGAGAGTATACAGTAGTGCAAGGCTAATTTTATGTAGCATGTCAGTGTAGAAAAAAAAAAAATATAGCATGTTCTGTGTCCTAACTCCCAGAGCCAGATGGAAGACATTCAATTTACATTACTATTTCACAAAACATTTCTAATTTGGTTGGATTCTGGTTGATGATCTTTTTTAAATAATGAAAACTTTCTTTCTTAGGTTTTACGAGTTGTTCGTTTAATAAAAGCATCACCAATGTTAGAAGATTTCTGTTTTAAGGTGAGTTTTTGCAATGAAAGGATATTCTGTAATCAGGATCCTAATGTACAAAGCACGTTTAAGACCTCTGTATACATGCATCAAACAATTTTCAGTGACAAGCAAGATAAATCAAGGATACTGTGTTGTACTAACGTGTTGAGACATTGGAATTGAGTAACATGTAGAATGACCTTTAAGTATTATCAGCAGTTAACCAGGACGAATCTTGTTGGGTTTTTTTTTTTGATTTTTTTTTTTTAAGATAATAAACAAATAGAATTAAAACACTACCTTGAAAAGAATACCCTACAGATCTTGTTGGTTTTTTTTTTTTTAAAGATAATTTTACAAATAGAATTAAAACACTACCCAGAAAAAAATAGCCTACCATTGCATGTGTAGCCATCAATAACATTTTAATTTAACAAGTTGACTGATGTTAGAAGTCATGTATGTGATAATAAAATGATAACATTTAGGCAACACAAATAAAATAAGTTGTTTCTCGGGCACCGCCCGCACGCAAAATTGGTTGCGCGTGCGGCCTATTTATTAGTCTTGATGAAAAATAAAAAATATGTAACGCCCGCCCGAACATCGATAAGCAAGTCATAAAAAAAATATGCCGCATGTATCTACATGCCCCATTCGTGAATATCCATTCAAATGTATTAAACTGATTCAGATGTAAACGCTCATTTACGGGTCTTTTTTATTGATATCGAAAGAACCTCCATTTTTGTATCACGTGATTTTAATTACCTCCCCTTGTGAACTAGAATTTGATTCGTGTTAAACACCGAAAGTCATTGACAACAATGCAATGTATTTCAATCATTCGATCTTAATCGGCTCATTATTGCCGGCTTCACTCGATCCATGTTTGAAAAAATCCTACTTATAAAACAATGAATCGTAGAACAGGTTAATTATTATAACTTGTGGCTACGAATACGATACGATGATAGTCACCATACCTTAGTCAGAATCTGGGTCATTAGCACGTTTAACGGTAGTTTTGATAATCCGGAAAATAATAATTGGATTACACATTTGATGGTTTTACTGACGAGTTGTTAGTTAAATTTAAATAGTCATTCGATATAAACCCCAGATAGAACACCGAATATGCTGAGAAACACACCAAATATCCTGAGAAACAGTCATTTCACGAATCCCGATGACACGTGACATGCATTGGTTGGAATTAGGTCAATCATTATAAACCAGCGATACTAGATTTAGATCGAAGTGTCGTTTACCGTGATGATTATTTTTGATACACATGCTGACAGAGGCTTACTCTTTAAAATATTGTCGTTATTATGGACGGCTATTAATAGTCGTACGGAATTTTATTTTAAACCAATTTCAATTATGGTTGTCACCATTACCATTAGTAAGCTACATTACGTGAATTAAATATGGAAAATTATTTTCCTTTCAGTCAGTGTTCAGTGTTTGAGTAGACTTGATTTTTGGATTTATGTTCTAAGTATGTATAATATATAACTGAAAGCAAAACCGTAGACAAGTAATGACTTTCTCATTAAAAAAAAAAAAAAATACAAGGCCGCCCTCCCGCCCCAACAATTTTCAACAATAGGCAAATTTTATTTTGCACCATCCTCTAGCCAGAAATGAGATAAAAAAAAAAATAAACCGCCCTTCCCCCCTACAGTTTCAGCTGTCAGTTGCCCGAGAAACAAGACATTTATTTTGTGTAGCCTTATTAAAGTTTGATCTTTTATTGCATTGTAAACTTGCTAATTGATGACAAGCAAGCAATTGATGCATCATTAGGAATCAACCAGTCGTAATTTCGGTCTTTTCTTTTTAATACAACTCATGATATAAATATGTTCTTATTTTTTGATTGTAGATATTTGGACCTGGTAGAAAGTTAGGAAGTTTGGTATTATTCACCATGTGTCTGTTGATTATAGCTTCCAGTATTTCACTACAACTCTTCTGTTACATCACAGACTTTAAAAAGTTTGAGACATTTCCTCAGGTAGGATTTTTACTTTGGCTGACCTTTCATTTAATAAGTCTTTGTTACTCTAGAAATGGCTTTTCAAGAGATGCTAAACAGCAATTCCATTATGATAATAAAATGTGAAAGCTAGCAAAACAAGATTACTTGAGACGAAGTGCAATTGCTCGCTATAGTGACCAATCAGTTTCTGGAGCTATAATGTTCCAAAACTTCTATCATTTTCTTGATGTATGCAGTCCATCTTTCCGTGCACAGTTTAGGATTAGTGCAGGCTGTTTGACTAGAATTTACTAGACATAGGTTAAGAATAACCGTCAGGATTTGCTAAGATTGGTTCCATTTTTCGGATGTAGAGGGTTAACAAGGGCTAGTCCTTAAGACAGGACAAAAATTGATGTTGTGCACATAAAAGATCTCCAGGACAGTAGACAGAAATACAACTGTCCAGGCAAAAAAAAAACATTTGTTTCGCCCACACACAGCCATTGAAAAAATAAACCCTATTTTGATATCATTCTATGGTGTAAAATTATTCTTTTTTTACACACTATTATTAAATATATAATTTTTATGCATTTCATGAGAACAAATGGATTTACATTAGAAATATTACTCATTTGGTTTGAACAGATGTTGGTTAATTTTATAATTAATGTTTCACGGTTTCTGAAAATAGTAGATTCATTGATACCTTCATACCTTTATTTCACCTGTATAACATGTAGTTTTATTTTAGTTATTTTCTATGTTGTCCTTTATCTAGATCCAAATATCTGTCATGTAGGTCAAAGCGTCTATTCATATGAGGACATCATTTATAGTGTTTTTCCAATAGAGACAGAATCGAGTTCTAATCAATTGGGGGCGGACGAAGCAGGGTGGGGCATATCAACAGAACTATCTTATATTATATACTGCAATGTTTATGTTCGTTTATTTGTAATCAGTCAAGTTTACACATCATAAAATGTATTCAACCATACCTTTTAGTTTAATATTCACTTGAATAAATTACAAATTTAAAAACAATCTTTGATACAATCTTGACATTGTATTGTTACTACACGAATTAAAAGATAAGATAAATGTATTCCAACAAGTGTGAAATCCTAAAATGAGGTGCTATTAGAAAGAATAAACTGAATGGCACATGCAACTACATTGTGTAATTTTTATACGCCCACATTGAAATGTGGTCGTATATTGTCGTCGCCCCCGTCTGTCCGTCCGGCGGTCCGGCATCCACAATTGCTTGTGGATGCTCTAGAGGCCAAAGTTAATATCTGATTGACTTTAAATTTATACACAGTGTTTAAGGTCTTGAGACGAAGAAGCCTATTGATTTTCAGCGATTTCCGATAATTATTGCCAGACTTATGGCCCTTGATCACTTTGAAAATCTTGTGGACGCTCTAGAGGCCAAAGTTAATATCCGATTGACCTAAAATTTATACACAGTGTTTAAGGTCATGAGACGAAGAAGCCTATTGATTTTCAATGATTTCCGATAATTACTGCCAAAGTTATGGCCCTTGATCACTTCAAAAAATCTTGTGGACGCTCTAAAGGCCAAAATTAATATCCGATTGACTTTAGATTTATACACAGTGTTTAAGGTCATGAGACGAAGAAGCCTATTGATTTTCAGCGATTTTCGATTATTACTGCCAGAGTTATGGCCCTTGATCACATTGAAAAATCTTGTGGACGCTCTAGAGGGTTAATATCCGATTGACTTTGAATTTATACACAGTGTTTAAGGTCCTGAGACGAAGAAGTCTATTGATTTTCAGCGATTTCCGATAATTACTGCCAGAGTTGTGGCCCTTGATCACTTTGAAAAATCTTGTGGACGCTTTAGAGGCCAAAGTTAATATCTGATTGACTTCAAATTTATACACAGTGTTTAAGGTCATGAGACGAAGAAGCCTATTGATTTTCAGCAATATATCCGATAATTACTGCCAGAGTTATGCCCCTTAATCACTTTGAAAAATCTTGTGGACGCTCTATAGGCCAAAGTTAATATCTGATTGACTTTGAATTTATACACAGTGTTTAAGGTCATGAGACGAAGAATCCTATTATTTCCGATAATTACTGCCAGAGTTATGGCCCTTGATCATTTTGAAAAATCTTGTGGACGCTCTAGGCCAAAGTTAATATCCGATTGACTTTGAATTTATACACAGAGTTTAAGGTCATGAGACAAAGAATTCTATTGATTTTCAACGATTTCCGATAATTACTGCAAGAGTTATGGCCCGTGATCACTTCAAAAAATATTGTGGACGCTCTAAAGGCCAAAGTTAATATCCGATTGACTTTACATTTATACACAGTGTTTAAGGTTATGAGACAAAGAATCCTATTGATTTTCAATGATTTCCGATAATTACTGCCAAAATTATGGCCCTTGATCATTTTTGTGACACTCTAAAGGCTAAAGTTATCATCCGATTGACTTCAGATTGATACACAGAGTTTAAGATCTTGAGACGAACAAGAATATTGATTTTCAATGTATTTTTATGTCTTGAACAGCTAAATCCATGATATTAAAAGTTTTGTATGCAAAACATTAGCATGGGGCAGAACTTTATAAAAACAAACAAATTCTAATGGTTTTCTGATAATTACTTCATGAGTTGTTGCTCTTAATCAGATTTTAGTGTATTATAAATTTTTCATTACCGAAAAAAGTAAAAATATGCAACAACTCTTGTTGACTGCCCGGACGATTTAGCTGTTGTGGGCGTATGTTTCTTTGCCTGGCAACCTATCTTTGCTGGTTTTCATGGGTTATTTTTTTTATTTGTTTTTCCCTGTTGTCATGAATGTATCCGTTTCTTAGAATAATAAATAAATAAATAGATATAGCCTTTGCAGTAATACTTTGGACCAGCAGTGGCATCACTCAATTGTTTTCAGATACGTTATTGTTATCACCAGTTATTAAATAGAATATACAATTCTGCTTCTGTTAGGTGATTACCAGCAAAGGTCACAATAATGAGCCACCAATTTAGATACAGAAATTTTGGTCTGTGCTTTATAAACTTCTTTAAATACATCAGTTCTTTTTTTCATCAAAATGGAAAATTCAGTATCACAGCAATAATATATCTTACTTTTTTCCCCCGCAGGTTTACACATTTATTTGTTTCATTTACAGTTTTCATATGTTATTTTTTAATTTTATTTTATTTTTAATTTTTGTTTTTTTGATCTGTCACCATGACAACAGGCTATCAAATCAATGTTTCAAATACTATTACAAGATGGTTGGACTGATATTATAGATGAAGTTATGGATTTGGTTAATAACTCATTCCTAGCAGTTCTCATAGCATTGTATTTTATTCTTTACCATCTGTTCGCGACCTTGGTGAGTAGCCATGGTTACGATCACCATGGTAACAATGTTGCTGAGATACTAAAAAATGGATGGGCTTAGTTTTATTAAAATACTGACAGAAATTAACAAAGAGTTTCATGTTTATTTCTTTAATATTTAATTGGCCAAAAATTCTAAGTTTGTCTTTATTTACCCCTTTGTTCTTTATTTTAAACAAGGTTATATTCCTTGTTACATATTAATTTCTGTCCAGTATTACTGTAACTATCCCCTACCCTTGATTGCCTGTTAGAATTCTAACTAATTGACCTTAAATCAGTTCATTACCTTTGAGACTTATGGCATTTGATACTAAATGGCATGGGATTAATTACTTAATCTTAGAAATCCAGAGTTCAAGTTTTCTCTAATTTTAACCTAATAATCTACTGGTTATTACTAATATCTGCACTGAGTCTTTTTATTTCTAAAGATATTTAAACTAAGAAGACCTGCAGTGTTGATATTATTATACCTTCGCATGAAGCCCTATGAATGTGGTAGACCCTTGGTAGTTAATTATATGTATACAGTAAAACCTATCTAAACTGACGTAAAGGGCTTACTTTAAGCCTGTTATAATCATATCATGTCGCCCTAATTAATATGTGTCTGTCTGGTCAGGTTTTACTGTGTTACCAATATACACCATATACGTGTATCACATGACCATGTCACATTTCATTGTATTCTGTGCTTTCTTCTCTCTTTCTGCACAGGCATTCATGTCCATGTTTCAAATTCTAACGCAAAAAGGTTGGATTGATGTAATGCATATAACCATGTGGAAAACGGGGGAGAGAGTTGCTCCCCTTGTTGCCATTTATTTCATATTCTACCATCTATGTGTGACCTTGGTGAGTAAGATAAGATTGTTTCCGTGGCAACTGTGGATGTAATCAAGCAGTAGCTCTCCATGTTGTATATTTTTTGTTGCCATGGTAATTCATCTTGTCAGTCAAGCTGGATCAGTTGCTTCTTCACCTTTTTCTGCTTTTTGGAAACAGTTAACTCGCTGAAATGAAAACAAAGAATTAAAATCTTGATTAAAGACAAATATCTTATTTTAAGTGTAGCTACCTTATATAGTTTTTGTGAATATATACCTACATATATAAATATATTAAATGGGTGTCTGCCATGAAATAGACTTACTTCATTGTTTTTGATAATTATATATATGAAATTAACAATAATTTGAAATAGAATTTTAATACTAACACTTAGTTCAGAATGTAGACATTTTCAGCAGAAAATTTAAGAACTTCTTTCGTGGCAAGTTCCATGTCTACCTTCATTATCATGTGATTCAAACCTATTGATTTAATAGACCATCACAGTTTAATTTGTCTCATCGCAAGAAATGAATGATGGTTGAATATCTGACAGAGTATCATTTTATCATGCCTCTATATACATGTATAATGATAGTGTTCAAAAGAAGAATTATTTGGTATTAGCAAGTTTTAGTGTTTAGCTTAGATTCTAAAAGATATTTGTCTGAAAATATACATGGAAACAGCTGCCATGGGAATTATAACAATGGTATCACCATGGTAACTGTTTCTATGGGAACTGGTAACCTAGTAACAATGTTCTGCAGAGAAAGATGAAGAAGCTTGATCCAGAAAGTGACAATATGAGTCACACCACCATTATTTAGCCTTATTTTATATATTATAAATGTTATCCACTGAGGTTATTTATTTTTTCAATTTCAGTTCAATCTTTCTGCACATGTTTAAGTTTTCTTTTATTTTTGGCTTTCGCACATAGATAGTATAGTAAATGTTTCACATTTGTACATTAAAATTCACATTAAGATTTCTCTTAATCTTAAAAAAGATATGTGATTAAAATAAACAGTACCACAAAGTCCCTAAGATGAATTTGGCAATTTCAAGCAATGGAAAGTTAACTTGCCCCATGAGAAAATAGAGAATCAAGTTTAATTAAATAAAAACTTGTGTACATAAACAAAACTGAGACATCAGAAAATTTAAATTTGAATTTAATATAATAGTTTTATTTTGGATCATTGGTTGATGAGGAGTAAGTTATGCAATGAAATAGTAATTAAATATATATACCCAGAGTCTGCGATATCACCCTTGGTGGAAGTGAATTTTAAGCCCCACGAACGAAGGAATCATCTTAAGGCTGAAATAGATGCAAACCTATAAATTTGGGTAATCAATCTTGGGAGGTGGGTCTTTTACAGATGCATATAGGAAATCTTAACACATCTGTCATTTAGTTAAGTGATGTGGCTTTGATTCGCCGCTTGTATGTGACAAGGAGTAGGGTCGCCTGTCCAACCTTGTGATTTTTCTCAGGGTCCTGCAGTTTCCTTCCACTGCTCAATAGAAAAAGATTGGAGACAGTACAAAGTTGTAATATATTAGCTTTGAATGAAGTAACACAACAGTTTTTCTTTACAGACAACCAAGACCAATGGATATTTCACAAATACATGATTTAACGGAGACTTGTCCTAAACATTTTGTAAGAACGTTTGACTTTTCATGAAGGGATGCAGCTTATTAATATCCACAGCTTTATTCATTTATTATAATTATGAAATCCACATATTTTACCTAAAATTGATTATTATTTTTTTCTTTGTCTGCTTGCATGGTTAATACAGACAAAAGCTTACTTTTTATTTGATACAATATTTCTCCATAAGAAACCCAGTATACCAACTACAAAAATCAAGGCTAGGAAGTTTAAAAACACTTAATGCAAAAATAATTGATAAGAACATAAATTCTGCATGGTTGTTCCCTCTTATATTCATCTTTGCTTCCCTTTTAAAGATATATTCTTTCAAGGTTGAGAGTTCTAATTTTATAACCACTGTAATTGATATGTCCAAATTACTGGGAATATACTTCTGGAAATGTCATTTTTGTTGAAAGTCTAAATTAAAGTACAACCATTACAGCTATTTCGGCCAATCCTCTTTCATACAATTTTAAATTGGGGGCAAATATGCTTCAGTGCGTACAAATTTTGAGCTGTGGCTCTAACCTATTATTCCAGCATGTATACTCTCATTGTCAAATATATTGGTTAACAGTGTACAAATTATTGGATTATTTTGTTTATGAGCTTGCTAATCAATCTCAGTCAATAATTACCCCCCACCCATCCTTCCCCTGAGTCATAAGAAACCTTATATTTTAAGTTAAATGTAAGTTTTGAGGTTGGAATAAATGACCTAAATAATCATGAAGGAATATATCTTTAAGGCAGAGGCCTGTCTTTATGTGCATATTGCTCTATTGTTATTTGTGATCTATTTCATGCACCTTTTGATTTTATTTATTGATATATGTAAATGTGTATTTGATCTTGATCATTGAATTTGATCATTTTTGTCTGATTGACCAGTTTTTCACAAATCAAAATTTTAAATAGAAATGTCTATATTACTCAAACATTATTTTTAGAATATTGTCATCATGTATAATTCCAATAGTGTTAATTAAAGGATATTAAACTGTTCTTGTAAACCCACATTTTATGTGGGAGTATATTGCCATCACTCCTGTCTGTCCATCTGTTCACAATTCTAGTAAATGCCAGAGTTTTCAAAATAGAATTTTTTAAACTTGCTGGGATTGTTTAATTTATTTTTAAAGAGAAACCCTATCGAAATTCAGAGTGATGCAATTAGTTACTGCCACTATCATCCAAATCTTGTAAATGCTTTACAGGTCAAAGATTATGAGTTTTTTTTGCACTTAAATCGTGAAACTTGTTCTACCTAGGAACCTTGTTGCAATATAGAATTATGCAATGACTTTTTGCAAAGGCACCACCCCTAACAACGAAACCTTGTAAACCTTCATGACCAAGTTTTTGAGATTTTTTGTTAATCTTGCTGAGATCGTCTGGTTAATCATATTGAGGACACCTGTCGAAATTCAGGCTCACCCTTCTATTTTATACAGTTAATATTTTTTTTTTACAAACTTGTCATGATTATTCAGCTAGTTGTTGTAAAGAGAAACCGTATCTAAATTAAAAATCAGCCATTATTGTGCATAGTTATTGCCCCTGACCCCCAAGACTTGAATCAAACCTTCAAAATTACTGCTGGTGGACGTATATTTATTATATGGCAGTGCTATGTTGCTTAATAAATTCAAATCGTTAAATATCAATATACAGAATCTGTCTTACATATTTATTTTATTTTCATAAATCATGAAATTTTAATTCATATTAGCATTATTTGATTGTAGATTGTTATAAGTTTATTTGTTGCTGTTATTCTTGATAATTTAGAAATGGATGAGGATATAAAAAAATTGAAACAGGTAAATTATGAGTTTATCATTTAAGATTCTATTTACTGAATCATGTCTTTTTAGTATGGAACTCTGTGTAGTTAACAAAGATTGGAATTGCTACAATAGTGAATGTTTTTAGCTTCTTGTTGAACTAAAAAAAATCAAATTCAATGTATGATCATAATCCTGTTCACTTATGGGGGATGCTGTGGTCGGACACTGGATATTTCAAATGAAATGTAATGATATGGGGTTTAACTTCCTACATTTCTGCACGGGTGGATTTTTTAAGCCTGGTGCTCGTGTTATAGTGTGGCTGACAACAAATGTGTGTTTATTTATTCTGATGCGGTGAAAAAAACTGAGGTGCAAACTAGAAATGCAAGTTGTATATACCTTTGCAATCGGAATCCAAAGTTACATCATCATTTATATTTATATACTGTTTGTTATATTCTAGTTAAAGGCTCGTGAACAAAGTGCTGAAACCAAAGACTTTCTTCCACTTCGACTGCGAATTTTCTCATCCTTTTCGTAAGTACTTTGATGTTAAAATTATGAAAAAACTTTTTTGTTTTTGATTTAACGCTTTATAAAGTTCAATATCTCTGTGCTCACACGTGTTTACAGTTACTGCTATATTAGACACTACCGCCATAATACAAATGACCCCTGTGACAAGTGGTAGCAGGTGTACTGGTAAGAGTAAAGATGCACTACCTCATGCTCGAGCAAATATTGCTTGTAGGTATGAGGCCAAACCTTGCTAGAAAGTTTATGCAGGCAACAATGCCCAAACGGAATTTATAATCTATAGTAGCATATGACTTAAATCTATGGTATATAATTACTGTATATCCAGTTCAGTTACCAAATACCACTAAAACAGTTTCGTATTTTTTTTATAGTAATCATCCTCAGATGGTTCGTGTGACAAAGATGACGAGTGAGTTTAATATATCTGATATAAGGGAGAGTTTTATGCGACAATTTATGGAATTGGAGTTAAATCTGGTTGTTGATACACAGGATAATCAAGATAACGAACCACCATGTATAAAGACATCCAATTTACCACTGGTTAAATCTACAACACATGAAGTACGAAGTGGAGGTGTCATAGAGAAAAAGAGTGGCATCTCAGGAATAGTCAGGTAAACTTTAAACTATGACCTTCTACCTCATTCTTAGTAATTTATTAATTTAAATAATTAGATTTTGAATTTGATGTGTTTATAAACTATAGTTAATTTCAAGATTTGATTTTAGAAGGTGGCTTAGTGAGTTTAATGATGACTCATGCACTTGGTAGCCAACTGATCTAATGCATGTGCCTTAGATCATTAGCTCTGCTATCATGGCAATGTCAAACTGTCAATCCCTTGCGGCAAGTATTACTGTCTCCAGCTAAACTTTCTGGATTTTCTCCGAGTTCTCTGAATACCTGCCACGGCTAAAGTAAAGATAATCCTGAAGTGATCAAATTTTAACAACTAAACTTTGTATTATCGGTTATTGATGTATTGGGTTGTAGTTTTCAAGTCTTGGTCAAATTCCAAAGTTATTGAACACATTTAGGCCAACATTCTTAACTCTGACTATGCTGGTAGTGGATGTACGCTTTAATCTATGCCTATGTTTTTCAGAGACTCAAACCAACAGAAAGGAGGTAGTGGAGGCTCAGCTCAGATGGTAGCAGCCGGACCAAAAGCCTTGTCTTTACTTGGACAACAACATAACATCAGAATGGAACGAAGGTAATTATCACCTCCTGTTTAAATGTAAACAAACAGATGGACACTTCTATCTTTACAAACAATTGAAACCAGCGGTTGCCAGGCAAGATACGCCCACATTTTGCAAGAGATGGATAAAGAACAAGCTAAAAAAACCAACTGATTTTTCATACAATCAGGGGACATAATCCAAGAAGTTATGGTCTGACATGGGCAAATATTGAATGGGACTGAGATCTTTGGGATATATATTTTAAGTTTCATCAAAATCTCACAAAAATTGTGACCTCTAGAGGGTCCACAACCTGGAGCGTCCATTTTGCCAGGCAGTTTTGGTCCGATTTTCACGTAATTTGAACTCAAAGGGTGTAACGGTGATACATTTAAACTTTTTTTTAAAATTGGCTAAAAATTGTGACCTCTAGAGTGTCCACAAGCTAAAAACATGATTTTTCAAAAAATCAGGGGCCTGTCCAACCTCGAGGGTTTTCTCCGGGTCCTCCGGTTTCCTCCTACTGCTAAAGAACCCTACGAGCAAGTGAATTATTGAAATAAAATTAAACCATATGTTAGTCCTGAAATGACCTAGTTTGTGTCGAGTGGAGTTAAACTATCTCTCTCTCTCTCTCTCTCTCTCTCTCTCTCACAATCAGGGGCCAAAATCTAGGAAATAACGGTCCGATATGCACAGATATCGAAAGGAACCAAGGCTTTTGGATCAAAATCGGATAAAAATTGTGACCTGTAAACTGTCCACAAACAAATTGTGGACGGACAGACGTCTGGAACAGACGGACGGACAAGGGTGACGGCATAATACATCCACATGAAAATGTGGGCGTATAAAAATGTTAATTTTCATTTTCTAAACAAGAACATTTAGTCCCTTTTTAGACAAAATAATATCTTAACCACAAAAAAGTTTTAAAACTCAAATTTTCACTATTTGTTATTAACTAGCTAAGAACACAATTTGACAAAGCAGTTTGCAAACAAATATATGTATGTTCACTATATAGTAATTCATAACTAATGTTTTCTATATAAACAATATTATAGTAATTCATTATTAATGTTTACTATATGGTAATTCATAACTAATGCTCACTATATAGTAATTAGTAAGTCGATCGAGGGGAAGTTTTTCTCCCGCACCTTAAAATTGGAAATCGCTCTCCTTATGTATTTTTTTTTTTTAAAGAGTGTGAAAGATCACGTTCCGATCGTAGCCCGTTCCGATCGTAGCCATGCTGTCATTGTAAACATTTATTTGGTGTATTCGATTAGTGTATAACAACAGCAAAAAAATGTGGTTTTCAATATATCTGATAAATACTAGACAAAACACTCGATGGTTGTCACCGCACATGGTAATTAAATTAAGATTGATATGTTTGCTAAAAATAGATTACACCTATGTTTCATTGGTTAATTTAACTGAAATGTGAGAAATTATGAGAGATGGCTCGTGAAAATTTCCAATGAGAATAATTCCGGAAGAAGGATTTTATTTGGATGGAATTTTCTAGTGTTTATGATTATATTTTGAATAGAGGTTATGTTTTTAAACAAATTTTATACAAGCTATATATATTTAGAAATGTTGACAATTATCTGTATTGGAATACAGTAAATTAGTTTTAGACGATAGCAAAAGTTTGACTTGACCATACAAGTGCTTTTATTTAGCAGACGATGTTTATTATCATTTTTAACCAGGAATGACCCCTTTACATGCAGTTATTGATCTTCAGAACCATTTCTCATACATACAACTAATCTCTCTCCTTAATATCAGATCACTCTCTTTAATTTCTAAATTACTCTTCTTATTGAATCTGGGGGAGCATTTTTAGGGGAGCGATTTTTTCAATTTTTGATTAAGGGGAGCTTTTTTAGCTCTCCTCTAAAATACAAACAACAGCGACTGATATAATAATTCATAAGTTATGTTCACCATATACTATTCATTATGTTCACTATGTAATATTTCATAAGTAATGTTCACTATATAGCTAGTAAATTATAACTAAAGTTCACTATATACTATTCATAGCTAATATTTACTACATAATAATTCATAACTTATGTATACTATATAATAATTCATAAATAATGTTCACTATATACTAATTCATAATTAATATTCCCTATATTATAATTCATAAATAACATATCTGTATCCATAACAGGTCTATGAGAGGATCACGACCAAGTAGTATAAAGTTAAAATCTTTCCCCACGTTAAAAGAAAATGGAGATATTATGGGTCTACATTCAGCAAGTCTAGCTGGAAGAAGAGCAGAAGATTTTGATATCAAAGTTTGGCAACAGAAAAAACAACAAGCAGAAATCAAAAGGTCAGTTTCAGGGCTATTGTAGTTTGGGGATCTGGACTTCACAGAGTACAAGATCCCTATTTAGATTCCTGTCATATTCACGACTTACCAGGGGTGGAACTGGCTAGACATGCACGGTAGAATAAAAATCCTTCCTACATTAACATCGAGGTGGGTGTGCACATAAAAGAACAACTGACATTTGGAATTTGAAGAAAAGTAAGCAGAGTGTAAAGGGAAATTCTCCTTATGGGTGCTGTACACAAAATCATAGTAGACTAAAATTAACTGTACATTCGTCCAAACTTAATTACAATACATATTATTATTATGTTGTTGTTTTCTTTTCAGGAATCAGATAGTCGAAGAATTGAGAGAGAATCATCCATACTTTGACATGCCACTTTTTTTCATTGGTCGAGGATCTAAGTTACGTAAAGTATGCCAGCAAATTGTCAGTGCTAAATATCATTACAAACGTCAAGATGTTGTCATGGGTAAAAGTAAAAACAAATTCAAAACATTACAGTAAGTATATGTTTTCTGTTGTTATTTTGGTCTGAGCAAAGCATATATCTGCGGGTATACTGAATTAATTTGAGGAGCTGAATATTTGATTTCGGTCAAAATAAAGTATTGAATTGGGTTGATCAAATGTGTTATTTTGAATAATAATAAGACAAGATCTATATGATTAATTAAGTATTGAATTAGGTAGATCTGATTTGTTATTCTGATTAATGATCAGACAAGATCTATAACAGTTTCCACTGTCACCATGTTACAGTTGTGACAGCTTTGTTTTAGAAAATTCTTTCGACACATGGACAGTACAAAAGTGCTCAATGTACTATTCTAGTTCCGCCAAGATACTCACACATAATCATCAACTTATATTGCTCTACTACTAGCAAATATTCATCATTAATTATCAACATTACACAAAATATGTTGAAATTAGAAGAACAAAACTAGTCAAGATATAGCAGAATTCGGCTTTTTAACTACTTTTAGTTTACATTTTGTCTCAGGGTTTACAGTGGAAAACAAAATCATTTACATCTAAACACTGGATAGATAAATGTAAAATTTTCACTAATAATTAATGATAGTTTGTCTTCTTGCAAACAAATCAACAATTAAAATCAAATGCAATTGACATTATTGACTGGGACCCAAATCATTGTGGTCTAGCCACTTTAAGTACAGTCTTAGAGTTTGGGCACTAACTTAATTTTGCATAAACTTGTTAGTGTGTTAACAGGCTGTTTTAATACCATATCACATTTTTCTTTGCGTTGATTTCAGTAAATTATTGGGTCTGGTGACATATTTAGATTGGGTGATGATATTTGTGACGATAGTATCATGTTCATCCATGATGCTGGAGAATCCCAAGAGATTGATTATGTATTCTTCAGAACTAAAGGTAAGAAATATCTTATATTAATGGCTTACTTGAAACACTACATAGTCATGCAGAGAATTACTGCACTTGAACTAAATCAGGGGTAACATGGTTAAAATTAATGTCCACAAGTAGCAAATTTAATGTTATGGCAAAATTTTGCTTTTAAAGACACAGTCTAAATAAAAAGATTGAAGTTATTGCCCCTTTGGTATAGCATGTGGCAAGAAATTAGTCCTGCTTGTTCTAGTATTTATTATAAACCCAAATGTAGAGTCACTTTGAAAAGAAATAAGAACAAGCCTTTATATTTATTTAAACAGTACCTTTAAATTTTCACAATTTGCCATATAAGGGTTATGAATACAGTTTGACAAAAAATGATGTTTACCATCTGTCAGCTTATGCTATATTTTCAGCTTTAAAGTAGTTTGTATAATTATTTTCAGATTGCTGAGTATATATTTGTTGTATGTATGAGTATTGAAATGTCATTAAAAATAATGGCAAATGGTCTGCTTTTTACACCTAAGGCTGTTGTTCGTGATTTTGGTGGAATTCTAGATTTGTTTATATATGGTGTAAGTTTTAGAGGAAAAGGTTAAACTATTGCTCTGTTTAGCTGTATATAGGGACAAGTGTCATGCACAAGGCTGGTTATGTTTGCTCTTTCATTTGGTCATAATTTGACTACTGGCATGACACCACTTGCAACTATCAAATCAAAGAAATGGAATAGAAAAATGAGTTGTGCCTACTGGTTCTAGGCATTTTTGGATGCATCAACCTTATGTTGTTTTTTTATAAACATTTATTCTCAGAAAAGAATTGGGGAACAGACTAAGCCTATATTACCTCTCTACTTACGTTGTATCTGTTCTAGGAATGTATATAAATTTTACTGTCGACTGGATAGTTTGTCTTATCTAAGTTTTGTTTTAATGTTTTCCTGCATTGTGTAATATTATCAGTATTTATTGTTTATAGGTGAGTCTTATATTTTTAATATGGATGCCAGGACATGTCACAGCTCAATCCGGTGGTCAAGTTTTACTCATTCTACGATGTCTACGACCCCTTCGTATATACAGTCTCGTACCACACATGAGAAATGTAGTAGACGAATTGGTTAAAGGATTTAAGGAAATTTTATTGGTGAGTATATAACTTTGATATTGTAGAATCTGTATTAAACAGCCACTCAAGGGAATTTTCATGACTGGCTGCTTAACGGGAGTGACATCTTGTTTGTTGGTGCTGACATTAGGTAAATTTTACGCTTGGATGCATTGGAATCAAACATCAATACTTGCACCTGTAAATTTGGCCAATGCTGAAACTTGTCTCTGATATATCTTCTGTAAGCGTGTCATTTTGTACCAACATTGAAACTATTGTCTACCATTGTGATGTTTTTCGATAACATTTATCCATTTTTGTGAAGAAAATTAATTTTATTTTGTCCAAAAAGCACATGTCCCAAAAACCATTGCTGAATTAGGCGCTAAAACGTCAACAAAGTGGCAATGGAAAATAGATACTAAATGATTGTGACAAAACTCAGCTTTGACGGTACTTTTAGTTTATTCAATCAGTATTAAATAATGTTTCGTTACATGTGAAAACAATGATCAGGGTTTGTCATTTAATAAAACAAAAGATTAATTAACAGGTAATTCCGGGTTCATTGTTATGAAGTATGAAAAGATGGTATCATTCAACAATGGCTGTTAAATAAGTGCTATTTTGCTAAATTTATTAGTAAGATAGCGATCGCTGGCCGCATTAGAGGAGTGACCGTTGATTAAAGAGATGAAACAATAGAATTTCTATGGGGGGGATTTATCGTAACGTTTGTATGTGACAAGGAGTAGGGTCCCCCGTCCAACCTTGTGGGTTTTCTCTGGTATCTTCCTACTGCTTAAGACTCCTACGCGCAAGCGAATTATTGAAATGAAATTTAGCCATATGATAGTCCTGAAATTTAGCCATATGATAGTCCTGAAATGATTGAGTTTGTGTTGAGTGGGTGTTAAACCCAATTTTTTTGTGTCTTTGTCTCTAAGTGTGAGATAGTCCAAAATTTCTGATTCTTTTCTTAATCTTTTTGATGGTAGGCACCCAGCAGGAAGTTTTTATAAAAAAGTCATATTTTTTTGTCAGAGTAATTTGAGAAGTTTCACATGGAACACACTCATTTCAGTCATATCTGTCAGTCTTGACTGAATGGCATTGAAATTTGACTGGCTGGAGAATTCACCTCTCAATCAATTAACTTACCATAGGATAAGATCTCCCAGTCAATTAACTTACCACAGGATAAGATATTTCAAAGAATTTATTCTTATTATACAAATTAAAGAATTGTAAATATTGTTGTACGAGTAGATGATTTCAGATTTTTTTGAAAAAATGTTTGGCTAATTTTAGATAAATGTGATATGTACAGTAGATTCTGTACAAGCAGCCACTCCTGCTCCTACAGAATTTTTATCCGAGATTTGAGTCAAAGAATTTTTCTTCCAATAGCGAGTTTCAGGCGACGGGAAAATGTACTGATACGAGTATTGATGTTTGCTCCTGATGCATCAATGCTTAACATTTTACTTTATTTCAGCACTATACACAAACACTGAGATTTTATTAAGAGAGCAGTCACGAAAATTCCATTGGGTGGCTACTGAATACAGATTCTATTGTACATGTAAATATAACTGGCTGGCAAAATTCTGAAGTGAAGGCCCATATTCCCTGCCCGAAACATCTTATATTGATTGAAACATTAATCACCCATCTTCCCAGAAAGTCATTCCAGACATAATAATGACATGTATGTCGGAAAGTTATGTCCAAAACAATGCCAGTTTTCCATATCATGTAAGAAACATATATAATTATGTAGTTGGTCTATTATTGTGCAAAAATTTCAGTAAAATATTAATATTGATAATTATGTTATTGTTTTTATTTTTGTTAGGTATCCATGTTATTGTCCCCCGCCTTTCGAAGAAAGCAGGGGACTATTAAAATGGGTCTGTCCGTCTGTCTGTCCGTCTGTCTGTCCGTCCGTCTGTCTGTCCGTCACACTTTTTGGGACACAATAACTCTCTTCCTAATTGAGCTAGAATGTTCAAACTTGGTGTATGTGTTTATTAGGTCAATGCCTTGATGGAGTTCGAAGATGAGCATTTTCCGCTTAGGGTAAGCAGAGATAAGCAATTTGATTGGTTGATGCTTTGGGACACGATAACTCTCTTCCTAATTGGGCTAGAATGTTCAAACTTGGTGTATGTGTTGATTAGGTCAATGCCTTGATGGAGTTCGAAGATGAGCATTTTCCGCTTAGGGTAAGCAGAGATAAGCAATTTGATTGGTTGATGCTTTGGGACACGATAACTTTTAATTGAGCTAGAATGTTCAAACTTGGTGTATGTGTTTATTAGGTCAATGCCTTGATGGAGTTCGAAGATGAGCATTTTCCGCTTAGGGTAAGCAGAGATAAGCAATTTGATTGGTTGATACTTTGGGGCACGATAACTCTCTTCCTAATTGAGCTAGAATGTTCAAACTTGGTGTATGTGTTGATTAGGTCAATGCCTTGATGGAGTTCGAAGATGAGCATTTTCCGCTTAGGGTAAGCAGAGATAAGCAATTTGATTGGTTGATGCTTTAGGACACGATAACTTTAGTTCTAATTAAGTGAGATTGATGAAACTTGGTGTATAGATTTATTATATGAATACCTTAACTAAGTTCGATAATGAACATTTTTTGCTGAGGGTAAGCAGAGTGATAAGCAATTTGATTGGTAGAAACTTTGGAACACAATAACTCTCCTTCTAATTGAGGTAGAATGTTCAAACTTGGCATAGGTGTCTATTAGGTGAATGATTAAACTTGATGTATATGTAGATGTTCATTAGGTGAATGTCTTGACTGAGTTCAATAATTAACATTTCGAGCTGAAGCTAAGCAGAGCTAATCGATTTCATTTGTCGATGGTTTGGGACAAGATAATCTTGATTCTATCTGATAGAGAGTGATGAAACTTAGTGAAAAAAATAAATGTGCGATTAATTAATATGTGTCATCTATTTATTTTGCAATTTCGGCGGGGGACATCAGCCTCACTGTTGGCTTGTTAATTATATTATTGTTTATATTATTATAGGTATCTGTATTATTAATTGTACTAATGTTCGTATTTGCTACCTATGGTGTACATCTTCTGGGTGGCAGATTAGCTAGATGTAATGATCCAGCTGTTACAGACAGGGTAAGACTGACAAGGTTTATTATAAAAGTCTGTATTTGTTTGTTTGTCGTATACAGGACACATTTCTTAAGGATCATCTTGAAACTTTGGATACTTATTCCTTAAACATAATGTATGTATGTGTGTGTCTGTGTGTGTCCCACAGGGCTCAATTTTTAATGAATTGTCTTGAAACTTTGTATACTTATTCCTTGTACCCTAAGGATCACCCCTATTGTTTTCAGTGCATGCCTAACCCCCCGGGGCATAGCCACTCCTATTTTCTCTTTGTGTGTCTGTGTGTCGCCTACAGGTCTCAATTCTTAATGGATCATCTTGAAAATTTTTCATACTTATTACTTATACCATAAGGATGACCTCTGTTATTTTTGGTGCATGCCCGACCCCCTGGGACAGAGCCACTCCCAATTTTTGTGTTTATCTTTGTGTCGCTTACAGGCTGCAATTCCGTACAGATCCTTTTGAAACATTGCATACCTATTCCTTTTACCCTAAGGATGATCCCTATTGTGTTTTTGGTGAATGCCCTACCCCCAGAGACTGCCCACGCCCATGTTTTCTTTGTGTGTCTGTGTGTTGCCTACAGGTCACAATTTTTAATGGATCATCTTGGAACTTGATATAAGTATTCCTTATAGCCTAAGGATGGCAACTATTGATTTTGGTCATGTCCTGACTCCTAGGAGCAGAGCCACGTCCAATTTTTATGTTTATCGTATACTGGCCGCAATGAAATATGAAAAAATATCTCAATATACGTTAGAATTAACAGTACAAATAAACTTGACCTAATTAATTTTGTTGGTAACCATCTAAATCAAATAACAGATTGAGAAGGGGCATCTAACTATCTTTGTGTGATAATAATAATATGGCAAGTGTAGTATCGTTAATATCTGTCATTAATCAATCCAACTAAAGTCATACATAGGGTCATAGATTAATTTACAACTCCAGTGCTTGTGGAATTAAGAACGCTGATTAGGTAATCTATTTTTTTACGCGGGCCAGATCAAAGACCTCATTCAAGGTGGAAGCGGGTGAAATACCCCACGACCGAACGAAAAAATTTACAGGGTAACCTTTCTACAAACATTTCTCCACACCACAACTAATCGTTGAATCGTACACACGTTAATTGTATAAAATAATTAAGTTTTAGTCATCAGTTGTTATTATTATTTACCCACTAATCAATTAAATTTGTTCACCGATGTTTTTGTAATACAGTAGCCTCATATTATTTGTTGATTGGCACTTAGACAACATTTAATTGACTTGATATGAAATCTGAATATGAATTATTCGATGGATAAATGTTTGTGATAAGATTAGGTTATTATGTCTAACATCGTTTAACGTCTTTTTAAAGACTGTCCAACCTCGTGGGTTTTCTCCGGGTCCTCCGGTTTCCTCCCACTGCTAAAGACCCCTACGCGCAGGCGAATTATGTAAATAAAATTGTAGTTTCCCCTTGTCAGTGATGCAGGACGGAGGGCCTGACCAGGACAGCTGTCTAGTCCTTCGGATGAGATGAAAAACCGAGGTCCCGTGTAAACATTGGAATGCACGTAAAAGATCCCTTGGCAGTTGGAATTCGATATAAGAGTAGGCGATAGTGCCGCTGCCCGGGCAAAATTTCCCTCATAGCACACTGTATGGCGTATGCCCGTCTTCATTAGCCCAGATTAGGAGCAGAACAGTAGGACGTTAAACCCCATTTCATTTCATTTCGTAAATAAAATTAAACCATATGTTAGTCCCAAAATGACCTAGTTTGTGTCGAGTGGACGTTAAACCCGATTTCTCTCTCTCTCTCTTTTTAAAGAAATGTATTTTACAATTACATTGACAGTTTAATCACTCACCAAACAGCTTCAGGAACTCCATGTATGATCAAGTGTAATTGATATTGATGTCCATGAATCCCATGCAATTTTTGCACCAAAATTTAACCTCAACTATTATGCCCTAGTATGCATGAAACTGTACATAATAATAAGATTCCTATGGTTGATTGACTGAGAAATGAGGGCGATCTATTGCTATGCATAGTCATCAGAAAATTCCATATTCGCTGTGAATTTCAAATGGAGTTACGATAAAAGTTGTTCTTTGTGTATAGAAATGGTTATTATTATTGATATATAACTAATAATGAATATATTGACTAGTGAATGGCACCATTTGTATTTCTATACTTATAGAGAATAGTTGGGGATATCAAGTATTACGAGGTTATCCAAATTACCCGTAAATGCGCTAATTGCTCGGATCATCTTCATTTGCCACATGGCCTATTTGAAAAAAGGCAGATTAATGGATCTATGGCATGATACAGCATTTTAAAATTCACTCTAAAATACTCCAAAATACAAATGTCTAATCTATAACAATACAAGATGATAATTCGGAGATTATGATTAGGCCAGTAATATGTTAATTGGACCGTCAATAAACACTTGTCAACTGGTGGTGTGTATAGACTGTGATACATTGTACAGACTGTGATATATTGTATAGATAACTATGTGTAGTCCCTGTGACGTCACCACCCGATCAACCGGATTAAGGGTGTAATTGAAAAGCGTGTTTGGGTGTCCGATACTTAATCGTTTGTACAGTGTATGTCGAATAATTTTAACCGAATTGATGTGAACTTGTCGTAATGTGTGTATAGTATAGTAACCACTTGCTATAAGTACATATAATCTAGTTTTATCATCTTATCTGGTCTTTAATATTTAGTCTGTAAATTTTGCAAAACAAACCCAAAGCATAGCCTTCTTTGCCTCTTGTCATATTATAGTCATTGCAGCCATTTTATATTTCATGCTCTTTATTTTAAAAAGTACCTTATCAATGAAAGCAGGAATGTGGACGTATATTGCAGTGTTAGCGATGCTCATGTTCCAAATTGCTGCATGTTGAAATTTGTGAAATGTGTCCCTTAAGTCTATGAATACAGATTAGGTAATACTTATTCAGGGTTCTCGAAAAAATGCATTCATAATATACAACCGTGTGACTTAATTTGCTAAATGGCAGAATTATTGAACACAGACGAGACACCAATCATTGGACAAATCATTTATTTTCTGCAATCAATTTATGTTTCAGGCTAATTGTACTGGTATATTCTTTAGTAAAATCTGGGTAACTAAGATGAAAATAGACAAACCAGAAGACGATCATCCAGGGTTTATGGTTCCTAGAGTTTGGTAAGTTTCATATCCCTTGCAAACTACAATAGTGTGAAATTTGAATTTCGACAAAAGGAAATGATACGATTCTGTTGAGTATTTACAAAGATATACTCTTTAAAAACATGTAGGGGATATTGAAATGCAAATACCTATGCAGGTTGTCATATGATAAATAGTCATGGACACTTGACATGCTTTGAGAGTATGTTTACAGATGAAGAACTTACCGCCCCAAAAGAACCACTGAGCTGCACATGCGACACGCAATAGCGCCGTGGGAGAGGCTCATTGTCAAATTTGACACTTCAAGGAAGGTTTGATGAAAACTGCCGCTTGCTGGTTTATCCTATCCATGTTTGCTTTCCTATCAGTTCTTGCATACGCTTTACTGTTTAGCGTATCTGAGCTTTAGTGTGTTACGTTTTAATTTGAGCGGGAGACGTGTTCATCGACGTCAACGTTAACCGACAACACTGCAAGTATTAGCCGTGGCACTGCAAGAGGAGTGGGTCAGATTGCCGAAATCGTGATTGGACGGTTGATTAGGAGCATGCCACGATGAATTGTTGAATGTCTGAGGATTGGTTGAGCAATTACTCATTATTAATACAAAAAACAAAAATGTCCATTTTCACTTTTGACAGTGTATCTCTTTGCGACTGAAATGGGGTTTTCAGATAAGCCGCCCATATGAACTTTTTATGTGTAGACAATTGGCCTGTTATTAACATACACTGGTTACCTCTAATAAAAACAGCAGTGCATTTCCGCAGTTTTGTATTGTTTGTGAATATCCCCTCCTTTTTTTTTGAAGAGTATATAATAACTTGAAAATTTGCACGATTCATCATTCTCTGTAGACAATATAAAAAAAAATTAGTACCAGATGTAAGTGGTGGGTAAAATCAATTTTGAGTACATTTTAATGTGGATTTAGCTGTGAAAAATTAGATATTGTTTCAAATAATACATAGAGTTCCCCCCACCCCCAACATTCCTCTCACCACATTTCATTATATTATATTGAAGTTTTGTTAACTCAATTCCTGATTCATTTTATTACAGGGCTAACCCAGCTAATTTTAACTTTGATAATATTGGAAATGCTATGCTTGCATTGTTTGAAGTTTTGTCTTTAGAAGGATGGCTGGAAGTTAGAGATGTTATAATAGACAGGGTTGGACCAGTAAGTCTATTGTTAATTTGTAATGTGGACTTACATTGTCCTCACCTCCATCCGTTCTGTCTGTACATCTCCCACAATTACTATTGGATGCTCTAGAAGCTGAAGTTATCATCCGGTTGATCTTACAACGATTTCTGATCACTGTCAAAGTTATGACCCTTGATTATTTTGAAAAATCTTGTGCACACTCTAGTTGCTAAAGGGATCATCCTATTGACTTGAAATATATACATAATGTTTTAGAACCTGAAAATGAGATGAAGGAGCATATTGATTTTTATACGCCCACATTTAAATGTGGTCGTATATTGTCGTCGCCCCCGGCGGTCCGGCGTCCACAATTGCTTGTGGACGCTCTAGAGGCTAAAGTTAATATCCGATTGGCTTTAAATTCATACACAGTGTTTAAGGTCATAAGACAAAGAAGCCGATAATTACTGCCAGTGTTATGGCCCTTGATTTCCGATAATTACTGCCAGAGTTATGGCCCTTGATCACTTTGAAAAATCTTGTGGACGCTCTAGAGGCCAAAGTTAATATCCGATTGACTTTATATTTATAATCAGATTTTAGTGTATTATAAATGTTTCATTACCGAAAATTAAAAATATGCGACAACTCTTGTTGACTGCCCGGACGATTTAGCTGCTGTGGGCGTATGTTTCGTTGCCTGGCAACCTATCTTTAATGATTTTCGATAATTACTGTAGGAGTTATAAACATGATCAAATTAAAAAATCTTGTGGACACTGCATCTAACTGTATCTTACTTTGAGATTGACTTATTTTAATCATTTTGGATCCATTGTACTTGTTGATAAAACTAATTTTTATAGAGAGTCTATATTTGCCTTTAGGTCTGGAATATTATGCCTTTAATATTGTACATATATGTCATAAATGTAGATGATGCTAAACAATCTAAATGGCAAAATAAGTACAATAAATTATTTGATATGCATATGAATCCTATGGAAAAAAAATTTGTATTGTTATTTCAGATGGAGGCTTTGTATATCCATTTCTTTGTATTTATTGGTTATATGATTGGCCTAACATTGTTTGTGGGTGTGGTTATTGCTAATTATGGTGAGAATAAGGTATGTAAAATAGTTTATTATGTTCAGTATTTACAATGGTATGATGAATTAAAATTTCACCAACATTCAGCATCTTCAGAAACAAGAGAAGAGTTGTGTAAAATCTTTTGAATGGCTGCTTTTGAATCCACTCTAATAGAAAACAAAAGTTTATATATCATTCATTATTTGGATTGGTTTAGTATGGATTAAGCTATGAGAAATTAGATAAAACGATGATCAGGGACTAAAGTCTAAAGAAACTTTATAATTATTATGTCGCTCTGAATCATCTCTATTTAATTATTTTCATCATTATTTTGTTTCTGGTATAATTAAAAAGGTAGAGCATGAATTAGAAGAACTATTTTATTATCTTTATCCAGGGAACAGCCTTGTTAACTGTGGACCAGAGAAGATGGTTAGATTTAAAAGGGAGAATAAAACTTGCTCAACCTCTGCATATCCCACCTAGACCAGGTAATTAATGGATGCATTTGTTGCATTACATCTATGTTTTAAGCATTTCACCTTTCTAAAATGAAATATTGATTAACAACTGCCTGCCTAAACTCTTGATCATCAGCATGTCCAGTCTCAAAGTAATGGGGTTTGGAAGGGGTAATATGGTATTTTTTCACTGAGCTTGCAAGGAGAAAAAAATGGATGTTTGGCTTGATCCATAGTTACCAACATTATTGGGGATAATCATATTTCTTACTATCTGACTAAGATTCTGTTCATAATATAACACAAAGTTTACAGACCCTCAATAGATCTCTTACTTAGATGCATCCTCAGTTACCCAGTGTACTCATTCCGTTCTACTCCACTATACCCTGGGTTAAACTATGGCGGAGACACGTTTTCAAGTTATCTGCCCTTGATGATTGTGCTATTTTTATCGACCAATCCCATAAATAGTTATTTGAAAAGGAAGTTGGCAAAGGAAAGTAACTCTCATCGGACAATGTTGGGAGTTGACCTATTCTAAATGCGTAATTATTAACAACCAATTATATATTATGTTAATGAGGACAAGACGTTCTTATAATAATGTAGGGTCAATAGTTTTATTGAGAATCGTTCGTTCGTTCGTGCGTTCCCGGAATTTTATGTCCATGTGATATTGTAGACAAGTTATTGTGAATCAAAATTGCCAAGTATAAGATCAATAATAATAAACATAACAGAATGATATATTTCTGACAAAGAACGAATAGTAATAATAATAACAAAAGTCAAACATATAGATGTTAAACATATTTGAAATTAACAACACATACTACAGATTTTGATAATACAATTAAATATAAATAAATTATAAATGTATACATTATTTACATAAATCATTCAGTAAATGGACATGCATATGGTTATCTACCCTTATAAAAACGAAGGCGAAACGATTGGTTTGTAAACTGTTTTCTGATTGGTTCGTAGACTGTAGCTACATTCTAGGCCAGGGCAGATAATTTGAAATCGTGGAAACCCTATGGATTAACCCAGGGTATAGTGGAGTAGAACGGAATGAGTACACTGGGTAACCGAGGATGACTTAGATGTTGTTGTTAATTACGTTTATCTCTCTATGTTATTATAGATGGCAATGGTTTCCGATCGTGGATGTATGATATTACACAGAATATTATATTTAAAAGAGCTATAGTATTTTTGGTTTTAGTTAATTGTGCTATGTTATCAGTACCGGTAAGTTATTCAATGATGTATATAACCAGTTTAAATAGTGATTACCTTCTTTCTTACAAGATAATGTGATTTCTTCACCATTTGATCACTACTGATAAAATCACCATCAGAATGGGAAATAATGAATTCCAGGGGCTGACTCAGTAGGTCTGGGCTATTGTACCAGCTGGCTTCCTTGGGTCTCAAATCACTGTGAGAAATACGTATGACATGATCTATCTATAAATAACCAATGACATTTCGACCTTCACCAAAATTACCTGAGTATCCTCATCCCCTGATTCACTCTAACTGTAGACAACCACAACATATATGGAATATATATTTGTCCTTTGTAGAATAATCTCTCAGTCTCAATGGATGCAAAAATGAATGTCATTTATTTTGAAAAAATATTTTTCTGATCGTTAGTCGATGGGCCCTTGAACCATCTAGTTGGACCACGTCCGACAGTCTGATACCCAGTCCACCCAATAAGAATTCTAATATTTATATGAACTCTTATGTATTTTGAAAGTATATTGTATATGACAAATACATTTTACTTATTACATATTTTTTGTTGTAAAATATTTCAGTGGAAAGATAGTTCTATTACAAATATCCTAGCAGGATTTTCAGCAGTTTTTACCCTTTTGTTTCTATGTGAGGTAAGTGATTTCAATCCCATTATTTTATTATCAAACTTATTTAAATTTATAATGCTTAGATCGTTGCATGTATTATGGAATGAACCTATTGTCTAATCGATCAGAAAAACGCATGAACAGTAATTATGATTCTAAACTCATATAGTACAAAGTTACTATCCCATCTAGAGACTGGAAATAAAGTCCCTATTTTAGCTTTTGATGTAAGGATAGCCATATTCACTGAGGTCCGGTGTGCACATTGTTGTGCCGATAAAAGAACCCTTAATGGTTAGAAGTTTATGAAGACTTAATCAGAAATGTTGCTCTCAAGTCAAAATTTTCCTTATAGTATAGCACATTTTATTTCTGTCTGGCAGTGAAATTGAGCTGATTGAGAACTTATATATATTTTATATAGGTGATTATATTGTATATTATTTAAGGTGTTTATACAGGTAATTGTATATTATTTAAGGTATTTATGAAGATGATAGCGTTATCACCTGGAGGTTATTGGACAAGTAGAAGAAACAGATTTGATATGTTTGTAACATTAATTGGTTGTTTATGGATTGTTCTACATTTTATACCAAATGTAAGTTCTTCAAATTCATATTAGCTCACTGAACTAGAATGTTCCTTGGACCAAAAGGAATGTTTGAGATTTAGAGCTCACACACATTTAAATATTTGAAAGTGAAAATCCTTGAAAATTTATTCAATGTTTTAATATTCGTTATTCGATATCAATTAAAACTAATTTGGCATGTTAATAGCCCAGATGAATCGAATTCTTGAATAGCAGCAATGTAACGTTAATATCGTTGACTAAGCAACAAATAACTGTTATAACTGTGACTATTGAATGATATACACCACAATTGTCCAGGTTTGTGTATTAAATAGTGATGGATGTTATAAATAGTCACGCTTTTACACCAGTAATGATATCTTTTACAGCTAGTTACACACTTGCTAATTAATGACAACTGTATAATTTCTAACCACTAAACATTAGTTTAGAATACTGACCACATATATATGATTTAATGACAAAAATTGCCATTACTGAAAGGGCTAGCTTCATTAATCAACGGTATCATACCAGTGCAGGGTGTTACAGATATAAACAATCTTTCTGCTAATACTGCTTTATATTTTGGGGTTACAAGCTGATATTTAGAGACAGATCCAAGATTACAATCATGATCATATAAGCAGAACAATGTTTCCCTCAAAAAAGTTCTGATTGGCTTTTTACTCAACTATTTATGTTTTATGTCTATATATATATATATATCTGTTGATATTTATATTATTTTCAGCTTGAGTGGAGTAATGAACTAGGGTTTGTTGTTATTGTTTTAAGATTCTTTACCATAACGGGCAAACACGTAAGTATCTAAATATCTGTGGAACATATAGTCGCTGATTGTCATTTGATAGATTTTGAATCCCTTGTAAATTATAATATTGTGAAAGTGGATTCTCTAAAAGAAATATTAGTCCAAAGTGGTTCAATTCCATTCCATATTTACAGAGATATGGTGAACTGTAAATTTTACAACATTCGACTTCCTCCTCAGAAGGTATAAACTGTTTAAACAATCCAGCACAACCTAATAATGTTGAATAAAAACTTTTGATTGGACTCCTTTTTAATCCAATTTAATCAAAGCCAGGAGATTGGTTTTGCTTTTTTAACTATATCTTAAATCATCAATTTGATTTCATTTTAACACAAATTAAGCCATGAAAAATTTGATATTATCTAAAATATGCAAATGACAATCAGTGGCTTAACAGACCGCATAGGAGAAGGATGAGTCTGGAAGTGAAAAGGAATATCAGAAATGTGGAAATTCATTAATGATTTAGAGCTTTATTTAAGATATTCTGATAAATTGTCACTTTTATATACCCAGATTTTAATTTCTAATCCAATTCTGCAACCCAATGTGAACAGTACATGTATAATGATATTTTTATTTACAGGCCACATTAAAGATGTTAATGCAGACGGTTGTTATGTCAGTATTTAAGAGCTTTTTTATTATAACGGGAATGTTTTTATTGATGTTATTCTATGCGTATGCTGGTGTTATTTTATTTGGTACAGTTAAATATGGTTATAATCTTGGAAGGTATGTTTTCAATTCTTTGTTGAACATAGTATTATTTATGTGTATTACATGACAAAGTTAAGTAATCTTTTTTGTTGACATTTTGTCTGTTAAATCGTATGAACATGATACCGGACAATGTTCTCAATGGAATCGTTTAGAACATAGTGAGGTTGGGGATTGTTCATTGGGACGTATGGAAGAACCCCATTGATTTTAAAAATGTGTGAAGATACAAACATGTTAATGAAATAGGGCAAGTTTAGCTTGGTTAATGTTCGTTGCATCATTAGGTCTGTCATTTAGTCAAGTGGCATGATCTTGATTCCCCTCTTATAGGTGACCAGGAGTAGGGTCGCCTGTCCAGTCCAACCTCGTGGATTTTCTCTGAGTCCCCTGGTTTCTTTGCACTGCTAAAGACCCCTATGCCCACCAAATTAATGAAATAAAAGTGAACCATATGTTAGTCCTGAAATGACCTAGTTTGTGTGGAGTGGAGGTCAAACCCCATCTCTCTCTCTCTCTCTCGCTCTCTCTCTCTCTCTTTCTCTACATCACCAAAACCCAGTTAAAGATAGTTCCTTTGAATCTCCGGCAATTTAAGTATTGTCAACATGAGTACTGAAATGTTCTTAATACATAAAAGGCCCAATACATAAAAATAATAATGAAACTTTGAAGATTATTGTGATACAGTAAATTTGACAAGATTATTGTAATATTATTTCAGACATGCTAACTTTGAAACAGCGTCTAATGCCATTGCGTTATTGTTTAGAATTGTAACAGGAGAAGATTGGAATAAGATTATGCACGATTGTATGGTAAGTATAACTTTGATACTCTCTATGATATCTAATAACGGTTTCATCAGTCCCCATAGGGTTGGGGGGCGGGCGGAGAGAAATGGGGTTTAATGTCCACTTGACACAGACTTGGTCATTTCTGGACTAACACATGGTTCATTTTTATTTCAATAATTCACTTGCACATGGGGGTATTTAGCTGTGGGACGAAACTGGAGGACCTCGAGAAAATCGACATGGTTGGACAGGTGACCCTACTTCTTGTCACATACGACCGGGGAATCAAAACTTGTCGTGGACTCAATGACAGAATTTATAGATGGCTGTAATAGTATGAACATGTCAAGTAGCAGTACTGAATAATAATCCAGTGTAATATGACTAACTAGGTCAAGTAGTCAGTAAAGTTGTATCAGTTGTTCCAAAAAGAATAATCATACTATTTGATATGAAGCAAGAATGTTAGTTTTTGTGACTAAGAAATCCACATTCTACATGCTGTGATTGTTATAATTATATATTTTATTTTTAGGTTTCTCGTCCGTTCTGTACACCTGCTGATAATTACTGGGAGTCGGACTGTGGTAACTTTACGGCATCTCTCATGTATTTCTGTTCTTTCTACGTCATCATTACTTACATTGTACTCAATTTACTGGTCGGTTAGTTTTCATTTAATTTTATATCTGAAATATGTTTTTCTTTTTGGCAACAAAATCTTTACAATATCAAGGTTTTATGAAAAATGGCTGTTACTCTGTCTTCATAAATCAACTCTAATTCTAATCTGGGGTTAAGATATTTTATACAGGAAGGTTTTTACTTGTTTTTGTGTTATCCTGTTAATAATTGTATATTTAATCCTGTATTTAATTGTATATTTAATCCTACATTTAATTATGTATTTAATTCTATATTTAATTTTATATTTCATTCTGTCTTTAATACTATATTTCAGCTATTATTATGGAGAATTTCTCTTTGTTTTATTCTAATGAAGAAGATGCCCTTGTATCATATAACGATATTAGACAGTTTCAGAACACTTGGAATCTTGTAGATACCAATAGAAAGGTTGGTACCATCGTAATAACATCTTGATGAGTCCACCTTTTGGTAGACCCCATTTGTATTGAGGCCTTAGTCTAAATTTCCAACTCCAGTATATTCCATTTGATCTTTCATTTGAAAGGTATTGGCCCTTTGTCAAATATTTGTGGTAAACATAAAATAGTCTGTTCACATTGAACCTCAAGAACATTTTGATATAAATTCACATGCCAAGTTTCATTAAAATTGGATAAAAAATGTAGAATTATTCTTTCACATATCATTTTTAGTATGTATTCACTGAAGGTATTAACTCTGTAAATTTCCCCCTTTGGCTAAGTAGATATAAGCAATTGGAATGGTTAAGACATTGGAACAAAATAGCTGTGCTTCTGATTTAGGTAGAATGATCAAACTTTGTGTAGATTATCATAAGGTAAATTTCTTGACTGTGTTTGAGATAAGCAGAGATTTGTTGATCCTTTGGAACATGATAATTTTGATTCTATTTGGGTGAGTATTTTCTGCTCAAGTAATTAATGTGTGTCATCTTTTTATTTGGAGATTGAGGCAGGGCACATTTAGTTTAGCTTTTGTCTTTTATTTCAGGGTATAATTCCGGCCAGAAGAGTAAAATATTTATTACGGCTACTGAGAGGGCGTTTAGAGGTTGACCTAGAGAAAGATCGTCTGTTATTCAAGCACATGTGTTATGAAATAGAAAAACTACATCAGGATGGGAATGTTACGTTTCATGATGTTTTAAGGTAAAATTTATCACATGGACACCAGATACCGTCTGGTTATATTTTTTTACCCAAATCCAGAAGGTCTACCAGTATTTATTTCGATAGGTTTTAACAATTTACAGGAGCGGTTCCAGAAATATTTTAGGTTGATTGCGCTTGTAAATCCCGTGCAACTACTTGAAGCTCTGTGGTGTTTTTTTTTTTTTTTTTTTGAAGAAATATAAACTTTCATGTTGGGATGTTTAACCTAATTGCATGATGTGTATGTGACTGGATAATCATGTGTTACTGTATAATGTTACGAAGTTGTAGTGGTAAGAGATCATTGAGAATATCAAGTCACTCATATGTAAAATATGTGGATGCTGGTTTTGTCCTTTAAGGTATGCTGTAAAATCTGAGATTGCCCCTTTAAAATTTCTTTTATATCTTTATAACAATCTTATCAAATTAGATTCTTAAAATTTGACTTGTTTTTTTTTTACAGTATGCTATCATACCGTTCTGTAGATATCAGAAAAAGTTTACAACTGGAAGAATTATTGGCTCGAGAAGAATTAGAATATACCATAGAGGAAGAAGTAGCCAAGCAAACAATCAGAAATTGGTTAGATAAATGTTTAAAGAGAATTAGAACAGTAAGTAGTTTCATATATATTGGATTTCATTTTATTGTTTGAAAATCTGGTAGGATCCTGGCAATATCATTGTAATTAGCTGGTAGGGATATTGAAATGGGCTTCTTAAGTCCTGATTTTGTTTCCGGGGCATATCTCATAAATTGTTCAAGATATCAACCTATTATAGTAGTGATGCTTTTGCTACTTGTAAATTTCTCCGATTTAATCATTTTTTCGTTTCCATGGAAACAAATCAGCTGTTGATATCTGTACCTCATGTTATTTTCAGGCCTTTTAATTGTGACTAGACTAAGTCATGATACACATTATTTAGTTGTCAGTTTTGCAGGATGGAGAGCCTGGCGTGAAACAGCATTTGGTCGTTCCAATGAGACTAAAAAATGAGGTTTTAAGTACACTTTGATGTGCTCATAAAAGAACCCTTGACTGTTGGAATTATATTGCTGTCTAGGCAAAGTACACTGCATGGCTTATATTTGTCTTCATTAACTGGGTTGGGGCAGAAAACTTGGACTAAGTGATATGTATAGAGCATCATCACTTCAACAAAGGGAAATAACTACTCAAGGATAGTAGTATGGATAGTACAGCAGACTCAAGTGAGATTTATCACACAGAACATAGTGAATAGTATGTTGAAATTTATGAGAAGCAACATTAATGTCATGATTCATAAATTCCTTATCTTTCAGAAAGAACATTCCAACCTTATATCCAACTTACGAGCTACAAATGAACCAGCATTTTTTATCACGGAGCCGTCTAGTGGATTTTTAGAGAATAAGGAGGAACATAAAGATGACTTGGTGCAGACAAGAACAAGGAAAAAAGGCCATGTTGAATTACGTAATCCTGTTATACAACCACCCAGTGCTTTGCAGGTAACAGTACAATTCTTCACCAATCTACACAACCAGTCATTCAAAATACATGTTGCAAACAGTGGCTAATTCCTCTATCACTGTAAAACCTAACCCTGTCCTAGCCTTACTACTATATTCTTATCATGCACAGTCCCTTTTGAGGTGTACACATTTTGTGCCAATGATGTTGCCAGGCCTGGATGCCAGTCAGGAAGAAATTTTCCTCAGCCACCCAAAAAAATCATTCACAGCTGACATGACGTCATCAATGCTAAGAAAAGGACAACCGACTAGTTCCTTTTTCATTTTTGTTAACCGGTCTCATCCATGGTTAGAAATCTGGTCAAAAAATTATCAGGATCTGCTTCAAAATGTCAGGAGACGTCAGGAATCTGACACGTTTCTGATCTGCAGTCAAGAGCTTTGGCACCCATCTTGCAGAAACTTTTGTCATTCCAAACTCGTTGGCGATAGTCTGCTCAACCTTCTCATGAGTGATGCCCTCAACACTGGCAATATGGCAAGTGGTCAATCGTCAATCAGCCATCCCCATGTCATGCACGTGGGTAATGTTTCTTGAATGGTTGCTGTTGACCGTCTTCCAGGACACAGGTCATTGTCCAGGCTCTCTCTGACACACTTAAATTCCGCAGCCCACTTCGTTACTGTGGAAAATGAAGGGGCATCATCCTCTAATGTGGAGACCATGTCGGCATCTATCTGTGTTGGGGTTAGTCCTTGCAGCTACTTGGTGACTTCCCTATAGCCAGTTTTGTCCATTTCTGGTGATTTCAATGGGTAGGTTCACAGGATGGCTTGGTACAAAGACAATAATAACACTACAGTTGCAGTTCTTATGTCTATGATTCATTCAATGATTGTACTTTTTGGGGGCAAAAGTTTGTTTCAATCCAATTGATCTATTCTTTTCAAGCTTAGAACTTTTCAGCCAGCCCTCCTATCCTTATAATTATCATACTGTTTATATTTATTTTACCCTTTATTGTCACCATACCACTTTTCCACATATCCATATCCTCATCATACTATTTTATCCATGTATCCTTATTCCCATCATACTATGTATCGTTATTCACTCAAACTATTTATCCATATATATCCTTATCCTCGTCATACCTTTATCCACATATCCTTATCCTTGTTGTACCACCTAGAGGGTTGGATGGCCGAATGTGAGCTGTATCATAAGGTCTGTCATTGAGTAAACTGGCGTGGTTTTGATTCCCCGGTTGTACGCAACAAGGAGTAGGGATGCCTGTCCGACCTCGTGGGTTTCTTCCAGGTCCTCTGGTTTTCTCCCACTGCTAAAGACCCCTACGTGCAAGCGAATTATTGAAATAAAATTGAACCATATGTTAGTCTCGAAATGACCTAGTTTGTGTCGAGTGGACGTTAAAGCCTCTCTCTCTCTCTCTCTTTCTCTTTCTTGTACCACTTCTCCACATATCCTTATTCTTATACTAGTATCCTTTTTCTCATCATACTGTTTATCCACATACTTGTCATACATAGTGCCGCTGCCTGAGCAAAATTTCCCTCATAGCACACTGTATGGCGTATGCCCGTCTTCATTAGGCCAGAACAGTAGGACATTAAACCCCATTTCATTTTCTATTTATCCCTATTCTCTCTGTACCACATAATGGCACTTATCCTTATCTTCACCATGTCCGGATATCCTTAGCCTCACCATACACATTGTCCACACATCCTTATCCTTACCATACAACTTGGCGAGTTATTTTTATCCTTACAATACAAGTTGTTGAGTTATCCTTATCCTCACCATACAGATATCCTTATCTTCACTGGATAATATTTATGTTTTATTTCAGACTGCTTCTGTACGTAAGTTTTTGACACCTACTTTGAGTGATCCGACAAATCGAGGTGAGAAAGATCGGACCAATATGAGAAAAAGAAGTTCTAAGATGACGGCAGGTATGTAATGATAATAGTAGAGCTAATTTGATCTGAAATCGAGCCTTTCTTAGATATCCTGCAATCTACCGGAATGAAGGTCTATCAATGTTTCTACATCTTAATATTCCAAGGCCAGAGTATCACTCAATTATAGATAGTAAGTGTCATGCACAAAACAGGGAATGCTTACCTTTTCTAAAACACCTGATACCATCTTATTTCACACAGCTAATAATTTTATATTTGTATTAACACTATTTGATTGTTTCTTTCAGGAACAAAACCGCTTACCCTACCCCAGGTTAACGAGAGTAGAACAGAGGATGATACTGTTCTACAACCTCAAGAACGTCAAATAGACTCCACATTGGTTGGTCGTAATGTAACATGTGATATAGGATCATGGTGGGGAGAGTTAAGCGGATTCTCCAATCTTGATAATGGAGCTCCGGAGGTTTTGATTTGAATTCTTGACATACATTTAATAGTGGTGCCAGACTTGTATGTTGAAAATAGATTTGGAATGAGAGATATGTAGATTCGTTTCAATTTGAATTGCAGTAGGCTCATGAGAAAAGTGGAAGATGTTTTCAGGTATTGATCTTGGGGTTCAAGAAAACTGACTACAGTATCAAACTTTTTAACAGAGAAGACAAACTTTGATATGATGTTATACATACAATATAGCTAGCCCGCTCAACAAAATAAGGTGTCAACAAGAAACCGACCACCAGATAACATGAGTCCAGTGACAAGTGGTATTAGGTCTTCCAGAAAGTAAGGACAGCCTGGCTCATGCTGATCACCTAATATTGTGATTATTAGTAATTCAATTTTTGTATAAATTCATATTTAAACCAAAACACTAAATTCAAAATATGTCTTTGTCCAGTCTCCATTGTCAGGCTATAGTGTGAATATGTTCCAAATAGAATTAAAATTGTTAATTAAGCTCTTTGATTTCTGTCAAAATGAAGCATTGATTTCAATTGGAATGATGTAATGGGACAAGTTCTGTACAATAAAAGTGTGGTTATGATTTATTAAGCCACAGTCTGCTTGTTGACTAATTTCAGTTTCATTGATGGCCCATGAATAAATGTTATTGATTTCATATATTATATTCATATTCAAAGTAACCATTGACCCCGCTCATTATATAAAGTAAAAATACTCTTCTACTTAAAGCAAACCATTGTTCAGGTTTGAATCCCACGACTTGTATGGAATACCATTGTTCAGGTTTGAATCCCACGACTTGTATGGAATCTAAAAACGGCTATATCTCGGCAATGGTCTCAAATTTTGGGTACAGTTTTAATTTAAACTCCCCAGATATCATGCCAAATCTAAAATTATTTTGGCTAGGTTGTAATGCCTCAGGGTATAATGACATGCAGTATCATATCTTTCTCTCAGAATCTATTTATTGGTAATTTGTAAGTAACTGTATATATTTATGTACAGAACTGTAATAATTTATTGGGCTTTTGTGCAATTCATTATGTGCAATATTGTGGTATTGGGGTGTATAGGCCACAAGATGGCCTGGATTGTTTATGACAATCAGAAGAGCTAATTAAAAACAGCCATCTTCCATTTCACTCCATCCCAGAATTCCATCTAGGATCAAAGCCTTTTATTAATCAAGGGAAGTAACTCTATTAACACAAAGAACTCAAGAAGGCTTCAGACCACTATTCCTTAATAATATGAATAAGTTGGTTTAGTAAAGGGAGTATATGACATCCCCCGGTCTCAAACAAAAACTCCGGTAAGGAATTAAAATTTAGAAATGAAACGTTAACTTATACCATGAAGCAAAATTATAGCATACACACACTATCATACTTCACTACAAGCAAATAAAATGCTTAAAAACATGAAAGTTGAACATTTAAAATATCAAATTGTCAGTGGAATTTTACAATTTACATGTCTCTTAAAATTCTTAAATTGTTGAGTACTGCTCAAACCTTTATGCAGAGGTATCTTATAAACAAACATGCGTTAATTATTCCTAAATTCAAATACAATATCAACTATAGTTTTGAACATCACAATGAATGTGAATTAGGATTGAAAATACATACATTACAAGGTATACTAACAACAAGAGAATTGTATTAATAACAATTTTGTATAAACATGCAATGAGAACATTATTAAATCACATTTTAATATTTACTCAATTTTCCTGTAATCCTAAGATTATTATTACTAAGTAATTTCTCAGTTATGTCAATTAAATCTGGAGATTGGTCTATATTGACCCATTCACATTCATGAGGTTTATCGTCATTAAAATTTAATAACAATTGTAGATTTCCACACTTAATTCTACCTTTCTTGATATGAAAAACATTATCATTATTATTGACATCAACTAGGTAATTTAATTGTTCTTCCATCTGTGTATGACATAATTTAGATATTGAAGCTAAATTCTTATTATCATTTAGATAACTCACACATTGAGATATAGTGTAAGGTGTAGTAACTCTATTAAATACAACATTTTGATCAGCAAAGTTTGGCAAAACAAAACCATTTTCATCGGTGTATTGATAAGTCAAATCATTAGCTACATGAACATTACCATTTACAGTTTTACCAAGATGTTTTCGTAATTGATCAATATGAGTTAGACGTTTATTTGGCTCATTAGAACGAACAAAGCATGGTTTAAGTCTATTTATAGAATAAACATCTTGTAATATCTTTCCGTCCAAAGTGGAAAGTATATAATGCGTTCTGTCCAAGATTTGGTGAACCACTAAGGGACCACACCATTCAGCCTTCATCTTCCTAGAGTTACAAGTAAGAGATGAAGAAGATGGTTTTAATACATAGACAAATTGTCCAAGTCCATAAATAGGGTTTTTACTTATACTATGAGAAATGCTTATATTTTGATGTTCTTGTTGTCTACGTTGAAGATCAAGCATAGAAGATGATATAGCATTGAATTTTTGCTTTAAATGACTTAAATACTCCTCATAGGATTTACTAACTCCATCGAAATTCCAAGCTAAAGAAGTAAGATTCTTTGGTGGCTTACCAAAGGCAAGTTCGTATGGACTAAAATTTCCTAATTGTGGGGAGACAAAGGAATTGTATGCATATGTGCAAGTTGACACATATCGAACCCAGTCGGTACCATATTGGTTCAAATTGAACTTGAGTAAGTCTGATATTGACTTAATATGTCTCTCCACCATGAGACTACCATGATTAGATACACTGATAAGTTTGTGATCAATCTGTAATGCAGAACAAAGAATAGAGACAAGTTTTCCTGTAAGCGATGAAGCGGCATCAGTTATTAATACTGATGGCGGACCAAATATACATACAATCTTCTGTATAATAGCTTCGCAAATAGTCTCAGCATCTAATGTTTTGAGGGGAATACAGATAAGAAAACGAGTTATTTCATCACAGACTACCATAATATGTTTAAATCCTGTTGGTGATGCAGGCATAGATTTGAAATCTAAACATATTTTATCAAAAGTACAATACTCTGTTGGTATACGTGGATGATACATCCGAACATTGTCTGTTTTCCCTTTAAATTGTTGACATTTATGACAACTAGTGATATATGATGAGATGGTAGAAAACATACTAGGGAAATAAAATAACTTTCGCATTGTGAGATATGTCCTTACAATACCTTGATGACTAGATAATAAACTATCATGATATATAGCAATAATATTATGACATAATGATTCTGGAATTGCAAGCTGAAGAGAAAATGTATTATCATTATGTATGAGAAGACGAAACAAAATATAATCACATATAATATATTCTTCACTTTTGTGTTTGACTGATTTTGCTGCTTTACGGTGTGAAGGCAGAATACCATGACTGAGAAAATCATATACAGGTTTGAAGAATGGAGAAGTTTCTTGTTCTAACCGTAGTTGATTTTTATCTACTGGTAAATTATAATCACGGATTATCTTTTTCTTGATAACTTTTAATAGTTTATCTAGCTGAGCTTGTTTAGGAAAATGTGTGCGAATAACATTATCCGCATTATGAACTACAGGTGTAGGTGGGATACATAGTTCAATTGGTATCTCGATTTCTTCAGGTGATTCAGGTTGAAAAGCATTATCCACAATCCTTGGGTCTTGTGTGGTAGATGATGCTTTAATAGAACTATCATTTGATATCCTGATATGAGATCGTTTGGGAGATTGGAAAATTGTCGGGATTTTCTGAACATCAGAAGGCTGATTATTAACTGTATCAACCGAATTATGTGATACTGTCTGATGTTGGGCAGAAGGGTAAACTGCAGGTACAGAAATGTTATGTGTCTTGGCCCATTGACGAGTTACAGGTCTATCAGTTACTGGATTCAGAATAGCGAATGCTGTAGGGACAATACTGTCTATCTCCGAATCACTTTCGAGTGGGCTTCGGGAGAGAAAATCAGCTAGGACTAATTCTGTGCCCTTTTTGTAACCAATCTTAAAGGCATAATGACTAAGTTTGACTAACAGTTTCTGTAATCTGTTGGTACAAGGTGGACGTTTAGAGTTACAAAGGTGGACAATGGCAGCGTGATCAACATAAGCATCAAATTCAACTCCTCTAAGTAGATATTGGAAATTAGAGATATTGATCAGAAGACCAAATAATTCTAATTCTGTGACTGAATAGCGCTCGCATGCCTTAGGAAGTCGTTTTGAATAATATCCAAGAATTCTCTCTTCACCATCAATAATTTGGGTAAGATATGATCCTGTAGCTGTTCTTGAGGTGTCACTATAAAGGGTAATCCTACCACTATCATTAGGCATGTACAGAATAGGTGGTTGTACAAGTAGTGACTTAACCTTAACAAATGCTTCTTCATGTGCTGCAGACCATTTAAATGATGATTTCTTGCTGGAAATTTTATGCAAGGGTTGTAGAACTGACTGTAAGTATGGGAGAAAATTGGAAACATAGTTAACAGCACCTATGAATTTTCTTACATCTTTACTTGACGTAGGTCTTGGGATATTTTGGATTGAGCGGCATCTATCAGACAAAGGCTGCAGTGTGACTAAACCTTGTTTATCAATCGCAATCTTATGACCCATATAGACCACTTCATGACAGAAAAATGAACATTTTCTTGGTGTAACTTTGAGTCCATTTTGAATTAAGGCACTGAAAATTAACTGTAAATGCTTCTTGTGAGCTTCGTTGTCTTTACTGAATAAGATAATATCGTCATGATGGGCTATACAAAATGAATAACTACCAGGAACTGTTGATAATATTTCATCAATTTTAGATTGAAAAACTGCTGGTGAGACACTCAAGCCTTGTGTTAACCGTTTAAAGTAAAAGTGTTTGCCTCCAGAATATGATGAAATACCCGTATATTGTTGGGCTCTAGGTGATAATGGAAGTGAAAAGAATGCTGACTTCAGATCTAAGCAACTTATAACATTAGGTTTAGCATGACCAATCCTCTTTAAGGTGTCAGATAATAGGGGAAATGGATGGTTAAGACGTTTGATTTTAGAATTAAGATACCTGAAATCAACAACAACACGTTTTTCTTTAGTACCTTTCTTAGGTAGAATGAGAACTGGTGATGTATACGACTGGTGACCAACAGCTAAAATTCCTAGTTTGACAAGCTTTTCTAATTCCTGATCCACAATCTTTTTCTCAACTTCTGTTTTTGGATAAGGGCGAATGTAGAAAGGGCGATTGTCGTTTACTTCTATATCAACTTGTATGTCAGGGCATTTTCCAATTTCACCATGAAGACTGAAAGCTTCCCGATTTTGACACAACATATCATAGAATTTGTCTTTTTGAGAAAGATCAAGCACACTTTTGGACAAATCAATTTGTGACTTGAAAACAGACTTAATATTACTTGATGATGTAACATTATTTTGATCATACTCAGAAGTGAAGTTAATATTATCATAACTTACAATATCTTGAAGGGATATAAATGAAATTGGTCGAGTAGGTCTGATATGCAAAGTTTTAGCACTTGTGTTATGAATTGGTATAATGGCTTTATTTCTTTCCAGCTTAACCAAAATTGTTGAAGGACACATATCAGAAATATGACTGCCACAATACATGACAACTTCACGATTCCTAAACAAAGGAGGAACTTTACCATGAACAGTGATGTAACGACAATGTTTAGGTCTGACATATACACTATGAGCGGTTATAAATGGAATGGTTGTAGCTTTACAATGAAATACATTGTCACGAAAACTAAGACTTCCATTCAAATCAGCTAAAGTTTCTTGACCAATGATGATATCAATTCCGATTAAATCGGCAGCAATAAAAGCTTGAATGGTAAACTTTACATTTTGAATAAGCACATCAAACTTAATAGAATATTTACACAATAGTAGATTGCCATTACCAAGTCTAAAGCTAAGCGGATTTGACAACAAATGAACAGGCAAACCACTTAAATAGGGTGAAGATTGAATAAGTAAAGACGAAATGATCGA